GAAGGAAGGGAGAAGGAGGGAGGGAGGAGAGGGGAGAAAAAAGAAAAAAAGGCTAGACAGTGATGGCACACGCCTTTAATCCCAGCACTCGGGAGGCAGAGGCAGGCGGATCTCTGTGAGTTCGAGTCCAGCCTGGTCTACAAAGTGAGTTCTAGGACAGCCCTAGCTGTTAACACAGAGAAACTCTGTCTTTCAAGGGGGTGGGGGGGGGGAGAGAAAAAGAGAGAGAGAGAGAACAAATTATGAAGTCAAAGAGGCAGAAAGAGGAAACAGTACAGAAAGAGATATAGAAGCAGAGGCAAAAGAACGGAGACAGAGTCAAGAGGAAGAGATTCTAAGAGAGCCTGCAGGAGCAGAGATAGCTCCAGGCAGAGCTGGGACCTCCCAGGCTCCTCTGGGCCTCTGACAGGTAACAACACACTGCTCCACACCTTATAGCTCAGGGAGTCAATCACTGCAGTCAGCCCCTGTCCCAGACAGCCCAGGGGAGACCTGTTCACTTGGTGGCAGTTTGGACGCTGGGGAGGAAGGCTTTGGAAGAAGTATGCTCCAAAAAAGTCCCTGCCAGGTTCATTTCATAGCTGAGCTTTTAAAATTATAGAATTTCACCCAAATCTGCAACTCCAAATGGGGAGTTCTCCAAAGAGTTTGTTGTAACACCTTGTTTGGGGGCTCCCTTGGCATCTAAAGAGAGCAGCAGCGGCCAGAGAAGAGCCGTACCCCACCTGAGATGGCATACAATTCCCAGCAGGGCCTGGCCTCCCAAGGAGGCTTATAGGTCCCAGCCTGTTCTTCCTCCTGCAGGGTGGGCTTCGTAGTGCCCACAGTGCTCCCTTCTGTTCCTCTACCACCAAGGTCTAGGCACAACTCCAGGGGCTGCTGGGGCAGTGGCCCCCCCCAAAAAAAAACCCAGAGAAGAAAGGATTGGGTAGGAAAGGGATTTCTGTCGTGCATTCCCCCACCCCTGTCCCCACCCACATCCTCGGAGTACCAAGGCCTGGGGCTGTAAGCTCTCACCAGAATGGGGGTGGAGGGCAGGACAAGAGAGAGGAGGGGAAGACACAGGGGCTTCCTGTCCCCACCCCATCGCCCTTGCCCTGACTCCCTGGGTTCAGGGCTGGGTCCCCTGGAGGGGCGGGTGGCATTTGAGGCTGACAGATCTGCCCTGTCCTTCCTGACTGCTGGGGGAAGGGGTGGAGAGGGCTCAGCTCTCTATCCCCTCCTCCCTTGTTTAGATACCAGGGGCCTGGTTCCCCAATAAATTATGTCCCATTCCAGGACCCCAACTCCAGGAAAAGAGGAACTCAAGATCTGACCAGCTGTCTCCAATATACGAGGGACCCTGAGAAAGCTCACCTCTGACCCTCCGTGAGCCTTCCCAGTACCTCTCCCCATGAGGTTTCATTGGGACACAGTTTCATTCTCTGGGCACCACCGTGCACCAAGCTCCATGCAGCACCATGTCTCCCCCTGAGCACCCATAAAACTGCTCTTCTCAGGGGAGGGGGACCATGTCGAGCTAGCCATAAACACATAATCATAAGTTGCAATATGCTATAAAGGAAGTATGTGTACTGGACGACCATGGGTCTGTCTGTAGACTTGACCATTATGCTGAGCCCTAAGCAAGGGCTCACCAGGGAGGGCACATGTGGGTCCTGCCCCACAGATTCGGCAGGAATGACATGACACAGACCAGGGGACAGGTCTACAAAGCAGGGAGGGGAGGAGGATTTTTCGTGTGATATCTCCACGGTTAGTGAGCTCGGCAAACACTTTTGAATGACTGCAGTCTGCTGACACATTTAGCCCGGAAGCAGTAGCCTAGACAGAGACAAAACCAGGTGCTTGCCTTTCCCTGCAGGACCGGAAGACCCCTGATGCTGAATGCGATAGAGCCCCTAGAGGTGTCAGAAGCCAACTCTCTCCCCGTATAAATGAAGGGAAGCACCTACAGGGCAGCTGGCTTCTCCAAGGTCACCCTGCAAGGGTTAGGACCTTAGCAGAGTTGGGAGCAGTTCCTCTCACTGCACCTGCCAAGATAAAGCCTCCAAGACTTTTTTGTTGTTTTTCAAAACAGGGTTTCTCTGTGTAGCTTTGGAGCCTGCCCTGGAACTCACTCTGTAGACCAGGCTGGCCTTGAACTCACAGAGTTCCTCCGGTCTCCGCCTCCCTAGTGCTGGAATTAAAGGCGTGTGCCACCACTACCCAGCAGCTCCAAGACTGTGAGTCTAAGCCCCAAACAGCAGGCACCCACACTGATTTCTCAGCTCACATGGAGGAGAGACAAAAGACCAGAATCCAGGTGGCTGGGTGGGCTGATGCTTCAGTTACACCATGTGAAGCCCAGCTCCTTGACATGTTCACACACACACACACACACACACACACACACACACACACACACACACACACACACACACACACACCTCCCAGGACTGTCCCACAGACGCTGCTCTTGACATAAGGCCTCTTCACTTAGGAAGGGACAGGAAAGTCCAGGGGTATTGGTGTAGATCATTAGCTGCGGTGCCTGCCGAATGCTGGACACTAACTCACAGTCCACGTGACCCAGAGGAGGCAACGCCCCGTCCAGGTTTGTCCCAGAACCACACCTTTGCAACAGTCTTATAAGGCAGGTATCGCCACCCTCATTTCACGGATGAGGAGATCAAGGCACAGGGACATTAGGTGGCCTGACCGGGTAAGTGGGACAAAGGCCACGCTTGAACTCTGGTCTCTCTGGCTCTGGTGCCCAGGCTTCCATACTACTCAGCAACGTTTCTCATAATGAAGCGACATCATCAAAGTCACACAAATGTCAAAATCCCCCCCCAATCACCCCACTTTCAATTCTAGGAGAAAAAAGTAAACCATGTGAAAACAAAATAAATAAATAGATAAGCGAGTGTCCTGGGCTCAGTTTAGCCTAGCCCTGGGTGGGACCATGGATGGCTGAGAAAAGGGACTAGGAATGCCAGGTGAGGAGCCGCCAGCTGTTCACCTCAACAAGCCCCTTACCCAGCTGCTGGGAGCCAGCAGTAGAAGGGCTGAAATCTCCAGTGACCACATTCAGCCTCCCGTGTACAAGCAGTCCCCTGTGTCCACAGCCGTGTCCCCATGCTCCAGGCCTCCCTCCCTGGCCCCTCCCTCCATCTTTCCATGCACATCTGTATGCTGTTGCTTAGAAAGGATCTGGGGATCTATGAATGAATGAATGAATGAATGAATGAATGAAAGAATGGAAAGACAATTCCTAATAAATCTGTAAGTTCTTCCCTTAACCTACAGACAACAGAGCCCTCCCTTGGGTGTGTTCTCAGAAGACCTGGAGGCAAAAGTCACAGTGATGTTCAGGCCCATAACCATGACCTCTGTTGCCTGCTCCCCTTTCTGTGTGGTTCAGTGGGCCCTGAGCCTGCTCCTGCTCTGTCTGGGTTAGTGGGGGCAGATTCAGGGACTCCTGGAGAAAGCAATGTGACAGGACAAGCAGCAGTGACCACTGGGATGCTCAAGATTGGACAGCCACCTGTGGTAGAAGTCAGGAATGGTAACTGTCATTGACCATGATCCAAGGGCTGTCCTAAATGTCTACCAGCATGATCTGCTTTAATCCCAACCTCAGCCTAGAAGGAAGCTAAGAGCCAGAGGCCTTAAGCCATTTGCAGGGGAAACACAGCTGCTGAGTAGGGGTGCAGGATTTAAACCCGCAGGTGTGCACCCTGAGTACTAGCTCAGGCCTTCCCAGGCCTCCCCCCAAAGACCTCCCTGTTTTCCTGTGGCCCTCTATCAGGCAGCCCAGCAGAACCCAGCTCTGAGGTCACAACCAAAAGAGATGAGGCCCCATGCGTGGCTGAGCAAAGCAGGAGGCAGAAGACAGGCTAGCCCGTGGGGTGGGAGGTGGACCTGGCTGTAGGGAGGGCCAAGGGCAGGGGTAAATTGAGGTGCAGGGGTTGGGAGCTCAGTATGGGGATGGGCAAGCTGAAATCACAGCCCTTCTCCCCTTACTCTTGAGAGGGGGAGGGGGAGGGGGAGAACAGGAAGCAGAAAGGCTGTGGTGGGAGGAAGGAGCTGGAGGGAGAAGAGATGCTTGAATCACGGAACGTGAAGGCTCCGAAGACAGGAGGGACACCAAGCCCTGTAAAGCAGGCCTGACACCAGGTAGTCACCCCAAATGTCACAACAGGCAGGGCTGGAAAGACTGCACCGTGCTAAGGCACAGAGGTGCCTCCAAGTCCACCTTCAGCAGCTCTGTCCTCTCTGGAATGGTGGGACTATCAAACAGTGGTCAACAAGTAGAAAGACACCGTGGCACTTGCCTATAAGCACGGCACTCAAGAGGCTGAAGCAGGAGACAGTGAACTCAGGACCAACCTAGGCTACCTAGCAAGCAAAGCCTAGGCCAGCCTGTTTCATGTAGTGAGACCCTATTCCAGCACAACAGCGAAGAAATAATAGAAAACTTGAGGGTTCCTCTGTAAGTTCGAGGCCAGCTCGGTCTACATAGTAAGTTCCAGGACAGCCAGGGCTACATAGTGAGACTCTGTCTTGAAAACAAAACAACAAAACAAAAACAAAATTGAGGGTTCATGTTTTCAGTAAAAGGCATTTTCTTAATTCTGGAACCTTGAACTTTCACCACATTACTACGACTGTAGGAGAATATGGTGTCTGCCCATGACCCTGCCCCTCAGGAGAGACCCAGGGACATGCTAAGGTGCACAAAGGGCAGGCATTGGACTGGGCCCTGGCCTCCTTTGTGAAGTACAGATATCTTGCCTGGCCCTCATTTTCCTAAGGTCCAGAGAGGGAGAAAGGTAGCCAGGGCAACGCAGGCATCTGGGACTAGTGCACTCCAGGGGGTGTTTCCAGTCTATATCGTCCAGGGAGGACTTGGGCTGCAGGGGGTGTTTCTGATCTGTAACATCTGTGGAGGACTCAGTCATGCCAGGTTCTAGGGTTCCAGGCTAGTCTGACTGAATAAGCCCTGAACTCCAAAGCCAGGCTGACGCCATCCCCTCCTGTCCCAGCTCCTGGCCCCCTGCCCTGCCCTGCCCGGCACTGAGGCACTGAAGGCAGTCACCAAAGGCCGAAGCAACTGAGCTGCTCAGAGCAGAGCAGAGCAGGAAGGGCTTTCGGGCAGCTGAGTCCATTGACAGGAACGGGCAGTCTCAGTCTCTGAGGGCTTCTAAGAAGGGGGCAGAGGCCACGCTGCCCCAGGCAGCACTGGGCACCAACCCCAACTTCCTTGTTCCCGGAGAGGGTGGGGTTGGAAGAAGGAAGATTTGGGCTTCTGGAATGGCCTCCAGCTCAGAGCACAAACAGGGCAGTGCCAGAGCCCCTGTTGGGTCAGGTTTGGAACATTTATATTCCTTGTCCCTCAGAGCGCAGGCCCTCCACCTCCAGGAAGCCCTGCCTGCCTGCCCCAGCTTCCTTCTCTTTTCCTCCCTAGGTAGCAACTCAATTCGAGGACCACCACCGAAAGGCATTCTGGGCGGCAGAGCAACCAAGACCAATGAGCCCCGCCCTCTGAGGACTGCAACACTAAGCTGGACCAGGAAGAGAACACAGGGAGCACAAATACACACTTCTCCACTGGAGCATGGAGGGAAAATATTCTAGCTAAAATGCCCAGACTTAGCTAGGCTGAAGCAAGGCCTAGACCTCAAGCAGGCAGATGGTAAGAAAGGCCCAGTGAGTTGGCTCGGGGCGGGGCAGCGGGGGGGGCGGGAGGAGGGGGGCAAGGTCAATAGCCCAGCCCAGCAGGAGAGAAGAAAGGATAGGCCCCTGTGACTCTGCCTGGGACAGCTATCAGGGACTGGACTGGAGAGACAAACCCCAGGTCTCATAACTTTCATCACTAGCTGGTTGAGCACGGGCCCATCCCTCAGCCTTTCTGTGCCTCGGTTTCCCTGGAGGAAGAGTGGAGTCAAACACAGGGAGCCTTGGAGCTGGGCAGGCTCTCCCTCTCCAGAGGTTCACGGCAGCTCACGACGTACCCTGGCCTGAACCTGCATTTGAGAGGCACGTGAGACGCTCCTGAGGGTAAGGGCTGGGTATGGGCACTTGCCTCGTATGTGGGAGTCTCTCAGCCTGGGTTCCATGCCCCACCCCCCCCCATTCCCTGGCAAGCAGAACCCGAATTCCTGGAGGTGGGTCTGCAGCCAGGTGCCTAAGCAATGGGAATGAAGACAGATCACCCCACCATGTCTCTCTGCATTAGCCCCAAACCTACATTGTTTTCTCTAGTGAATGCTTACCGCAATTACCGAGTAGGTGTGTGTGTGGGGAGGGAGGTGGGGGGGGTTACTCTTTCTCTCCCTTACATACACATACTTTAAAGATATAAGCAGTAAATGTGTGAAATTGTCAACACTGTACAGGTAAAGCCAAGGCCCAGCATTCCCAGGCTTTGGAATGAATGGGCATGAGCGGTTGCCCCTCACTGACTCCACATCGTTTCCCACTATATCCAAACAGAGAAAGACACAGCCTTGCCAAGATGGGGTGGCCTAGAAGGTGTTCAAGAGTACATACTCCCCCCCCCCAGACCTCCCCAGTGCAAGCTGAGGCTTCAAGGGATGGTTGGACATCAGGGTCACTCTTGACTTCTAGCCCTAGCCGGCCACCTCTCAGAGCACGGCCCTGCTCTCGCCACGCCCTCAGACTCCTTGGACATCTCAGTGTAACGTGCAAGCTTGGCCACTGGCTCTCGGGCTCAGAGTCCAAGTCCTGTTCAGTCTTCTGAGATCTGGCAGGGAAGGACCCCAGTCCTGGAGCTCCAGGGGACCCTTTGAAGGAACCCTGAGGCTGCCAAGGGAATTACAAACATAAAAATAAAGTACACCTGCCTCTCCTTTCTTCAAAACGAACCAGTCTGGTGTAGAATCTGACATTCTGAATCTGAACCAACGTTTGTTTTAACTCCACACAGTTGATGTGGTGGTGAACACCTAGCTCCTTGGAGGGCTGAGGCAGGGGAATGGAGAGTTCAAGGCCAACTGAAGCTGCATAGTGAGACTTATGTACATGGTTCCAGGCATGAGACCAGCCCTGAGCAAACCTGACAGGAATGCGGAGCCTCAGGCCCCTCACCACTGAGAAGCATCAAGCTAGTCCCCAGGTCCCAGAGCAGCGGGGACACAGACCCAGAACAGCAAATGAGAGGGAGCAGGGATTCCAGGAGGGTCTACACCTCGGTGACCAGAGGTGGCAAATGCCTTCCTTGGGGTGCCTCGTCTCATCCTTTCCCTCTCCTATGAGGGGATCTGAAAGACAGGTAACAGACAGGAAGGCTGAAGCCGAGGCAAAGGCTCAGACGTCCCTGGAGCTGGCCTAACTAACCCCGCAAGGTTCCTGGTTCTACCAAACAGCAGGTTTGCCATTGTCTGCATACCCTCCAAGGCAGGGAAGGACGGCATTGCCCTGCCATGCGATGGATGAGGGGCCTGGGCTCAGGCTTGGGAGCCATGGGTGAAGCCTGCTGCCAGGGGACGGCACCTCAGAGAAGCAGCGGTAAGGGTTACTGTTGACCTGGGGTGACTAGTCCTGGCAGTATCCTCAGTGGGCATCAAGTCTGCCTGAAAGACTTCAGGTCCCTCCCAAGGGCTGCCCTCTGGGGGAATTTGGGGCCATCTCAAAGGAACAGTAGCTGGACCCAGGAAGCTCCTGATTGGCCTCTGCCCAAGGCAGGAAGCATGGATTCCACCACACTAGAGCCTTGGCCCTCTGCTGGAGAGCATATATCTGCACCACCCCTCACCAACGGTGGGGAGGAGCCCTCCTCTCTGATAGGGTGTGGGGCATGGGGGTCACATGCATCCCTGGGATAGTCAGGAACGGAGAGAAAACGAGACCTCCCCTCTAGCTGCCAGCTGGGGAAGAACCAGATGGTAGCCCTGGCCCTCCAGGTCACCCTGATGTCTCCAAAGCCTGAGGTCTTCAGCAGGGACCCTCCCAACTCTTCTAATTCCCTATTGTGCAGGGGAAACGGGGCCTTTGCCTTCCCCTGCTGGAGAAAACTGGGTCCCTACCTAAAATGAGGCAGAAGGCATCTTGACTGTTGCTCCCAGATGTCTTGTTCACAGGGGGAATCCTCAGTCAACACACAATCCTTCCCCGCCCCCACAGAGACCTGACCTCCTCAGCAGCACCCCTCAGCAGGTAGGTAGTCAGGGTCCAACCGACCAAGCACTCAGGAGAACCTGTGTGCAGGGACGAGGGAGAAACAGAGAGGGAGCACAAACCAGGTGTGGCTCTCTATAGAGCGCCCCCCTCCACACACACCCCCCTTCCTGGTGGCTGGGCCCAAGAGGGTGGAGGCAGGGAACTAGAGAGGGCATCTGGCTGTGAGACCACCACCTCCCCCACCGGCTTCCTATAATCCTGGGCCCGTTCCTCCCCACAGCACTCCTCCATGCCCCAGGGGTCTCAGACTCAGCCACAGACAGAGAGCAGGGAGGACCGTCCCTCCAAGAGGAGGGACCAGAGGGTGGAGGGATGAACAGCGACCCACCGGGAGAGAGATGCCAGGCAGGCAGGCGGGCAGCCGGCGGAGAGCGGCGGACGTTGGGGACCGACGCCGGGAGCCAGGACACGACTGGCTGGATGCTTGTAGCTCAGTCCCTCTGTCCATCCATGGCGGCTTCTCTCCGGGCGGTTCTGAGGCCGGGCGGGCGCTGTTAAAAAGCTTTTTATGTGTGTGTGTGTTAATCACATGATTGCCGTTCACCTGTATTTCGAACAAAGACAGCTCACTGTTTCAAGGCCCCGAACAAGAGTCTGGGCACAGGGAAGAGAAGGGAGGCGGGGGGAGGAGGGTTGGCAGCGCTGGGGGTGGCGTCGAGGAAAACTGGGGGGAGATTGTCCAAGGCCAGCAAGCGAGAGAAAGAGAAAACCCTTATCAGACTCCTAATTCACTGGGCTCTGCAGCCCCAGACACACTGGCCCAATTGTCTGCCTGGTTGTGTGTGCGCAAGCATGTGTGAGTGTGTGTTACCAATGTCTGCCACCCCCTAGACATGCCTGTGCCCCGTGTGACTGTCTCATTGTGTCCCACTGTCCGCCCTGGGGCCCTTCCCAATCATGAGGCCTTGATTCTCCAGACCCCGGTTCCAGCCCACTCCAGACAGGGGTACCTGTTTGGTGTGGGCCTAGGGCCACATTGTCACTGGCTCCCCTGTTTCTGCCTCCATGGGCACCCCTGTTCTGCTTAGCCACTCAACCAGGAAAGGCTGCCTTCACTGAGGAGAGAAGGGGACAAGAGCCTGGGGAGGTGTGACCGAGGAAGGCATCGAGGGAGGTGAGGGAAAGGGCCCTGGGGCGATGGGCAGGAAGAACCAAGGATAGCGTGAGGGGCAGAGAAGGGGGGTCAGAGCCAGGGCAGCTCCTTTCTCAGTGTGGGACAGTGAGGGACTTCATGACATCAGGGCCCGGCCTCTTCCATCCCTTCCCTGTCCTAGGAGAGGAAGAGCCCAGCGTGGAGCGAGACTCCAAAGTCCTCTGTGTCCTTCTTAAAGAAGGCCCTCTCCCACCCCCCTCAGCCTCTTGTGTCTCTCCCTTGGGCCAGTCCGCCCTTCTGGATGCTGAGGAGGGATCCTGGCTTCACCGGGGTATACGGACGGGGCAAAGGCTGTTCAGCCGCTGTCCTCCTCAGGACCTCTGGCTGTGTAGGCTGAGTCGGAGAGGACAGGGGAGGTAACTGCCATGCTGACATCTGGCAGCGGTGCCCAGCACACAGTGGGACTCAGTGGGGTTTCTTAAATTAAGCAACACAGGCTGCCACCCTTCCGGGTCACCCGCTTTCCTCGAATCTCCTTCTAGTCAACAGCCCACGCCGCTACCTGAGGCAGAGGTCTAGGGTCTCAGGCAACAGGTTCTGACTGCACCACCTGCATCTCTGCCTCCCCAGACGTAAAATGCCCCGACTCTCACACCAGCCGCCCAAACCCAAGCTTAGTCCAGGGAGACGGGCCTAGGCAGCAGTGCAGGGAAGGCTGGGGGGGGGGGCTGGGCAGAGTGGAGGCGTCCTGGGTGTTGGGGATGAAGGCAGCGCTGGAGGCTCCACCTTCTGCCCTCCCTCCCTCCTTTTCCCCCTCCCCTCCCCCCCTTCCTTCCCCAGCCGTCTGCAGCAGCTCAGTCGCTCAGTCAGTCTCAGGCTGTCCAGCCGGGGTGTTTGGTGGCGAGGATTCAGGCTCCGTCCAGACGAGGCCGTGGCCTGAGGCTTAGGGCCCCCCAGCCCCTCCCTCCCAGTCCATCAGCGTCACTCCCCCAGCCCCGAGCTGGACCGCACACCTTGGGACACGGTTTTCCACTTCCTCAGGACGAGCCCCAGACTGGAGGAGAGGTCGGAGGAGGTGAGTGCGCACTGCTCCCCTGGGCCCGGACTGCCAACAGGGGCCTGGGTTCCCTCCACCCAATTTGGGGTGGGAGAGGCTGACACCCCACAGGCAGACGTGCCCCCCACCCAGCTTCCCTGGACTGTCAGGGCAGAGGGGGGAAAGGAGAGCGGAGAGAAAAGGTGGGAAATTCCAGGGGCCCGGATTAGAGTCGAATAAAGGGTCCGTTTTTCTTCCTTTCCATCAACAAACCTCCACCCAAGAGGAGGTTTAAGGAAAAAAAAAACCCACCCACACCTAGAGACGGTTGGGATCAGGGGGTGGGGAGACGTGGAGGCGGGTCGCACCCACTTGGGGTCTGGCATGTGCGCGGCAGGCCCAGGCCCGAGTGGGTTTAGCGCGGGTAAGAGGACCGTAAGAGGACCGCCACCTCGGGGCTCCCTCGAGTGCAGCCTGGGGTGGCGCGCAGCGCCTCTCCATCGCGCCCTCCTTCCTGTCCAGGTGGGCGCTGGGCTCTTCGCGAGGACCCCTGCGGTGGGCCCGGGGGAGGCGGCCGAAGCCGCGGCGGCCGGGAGCGACATGGCCGAGGAGCAGGACCTATCAGAGGTGGAGCTGAGCCCTGTGGGCTCCGAGGAGCCCCGCTGCCTGTCCCCGGGCAGTGCGCCGTCGCTGGGCCCCGACGGCGGTGGCGGCGGCGGTGGCTCGGGCCTGCGAGCCAGCCCGGGGCCGGGCGAACTGGGCAAGGTCAAGAAGGAGCAGCAGGACGGCGAGGCCGACGACGACAAGTTCCCCGTGTGCATCCGCGAGGCGGTCAGCCAGGTGCTCAGCGGCTACGACTGGACGCTGGTGCCCATGCCCGTGCGTGTTAACGGCGCCAGCAAGAGCAAGCCGCACGTCAAGCGCCCCATGAACGCCTTCATGGTGTGGGCGCAGGCGGCGCGCAGGAAGCTGGCGGACCAATACCCGCACCTCCACAATGCCGAGCTCAGCAAGACGCTGGGCAAGCTATGGAGGTGAGCCCTGCCCCGCCCCAGCCCCGCAGGCCCCAGCTTCGCGGGCATTAGGGCTAGCCTTAGGCCCCAAAGTAGGATCGTCCAGGCCCCTCTCCTAGGGAAGTCCAACTCTCTCTTAAGAAGACCAGATCTGGGGACCTTGCCCACTCATCAACCCCAGAGTGCTCCCGTGGGGGCTCCTCGGACTGCTCACCCTGGAACTCAGAACCCCAGCGGCCTAGGCTGGGCCTCCCCATCCTGGGACAGCGGGCAGGGAGGCGCCCCCTCGTGGTTGGAATTCTGTGGGTGGTGGGCAGGTATGACCTCCACTCAATCCCATATTCACACACTTGGGGTGCCGCTGCCATGGTCGGGAGAATGTGGGAAACTCTGGGTAGCTGTAGATGCTGTGAAACTAAAGCAGCCAGATGGAGAGCTTGAGGAGAGGAGGGTCTGCAAGGACAACAAGGAAGTCAGAGAGAGAGCGGAGAACTTTGTTCCCTGCCACCTCAGGGTCCCTGTCCCGGATGCCCTGGGAGACCTTCCCGACCCCAGCCTCTAGACTGAGGGTGTCTTTACTCCCAGGAGAGGGCACACAGAGAGGCTTTCCCCTCCAGCTGTGTCCCGAGCCACCAGGCCACTCGCTCCTCGCCACTCTCTCCAGCTTTGACGCCATCTTCCCTTCCTGGGCTCCACCCAATGGTTGAGCAACCTCTTCCCCAAGCTCAAAAACTGGAGCAGAGCACCCTAGCCAGGAGGAAGCCTGCTTCCTGCCAGGGTCCCTCAGAGGCCTCTGGGGCAACGTTTTCCCAGGAAGCAAATCTGACCCTTGTGCTCACCTGGCCAGTTGCAGATGTGCGGAGTACCCCTACACACTGCAGGCACCCTGGGCCAGGCCCAAAAGGAACAAGGGTTCCAGCAGGTGCTAGACGGCTGAGGTCACCTGATCTCCACTAGACTTTCCAAGAGACAGGCCCAAGAGAAACACACTAACTTCCTAGGTCGGTCAGCGACAGAGTCCTCGTCAGAGGTTATCCCTGCATTCTCCCCGATGACAGTGGGGAGTCACACTTCACTCTCTGGAGCGGGTCTGTTGGGGGGGACAGAGAACAGGAGAGGGGAGGGTTCCGTGCTGGAGGAGACTTGGGGTCGGTTAGAGGGCCAGGCTCCTTCACGTTGCTGGAGGAGACTTGGGGTCGGTTAGAGGGCCGGGCTCCTTCCATGTTGCTGGCCGTCTGTGAAGACCAAAGGCCTGAAGCAGTGAAGGAGCCATCAGTTCCCAAGAGCAGAGGAACCCGCAAGCAGCTTCCCGGCCTGCACTTTGCCATGTGCTTGCTGAAGGCAGGCCCAACACCCCTCCCCCAGCCTCCTCAGCCCTCAGCTCTGACCAGGCAATAGCCAGCCGCTCTGAGCCCAGGGCCCAGCTCCACTCAGGAAAAGCATGGGCAGCTAACTCCTTTGTCCAAGGTCCGTCTAGGGGTGCAGCAGCAGTAAGAGGTGGACCCCCATTCTCCCACTGCCATCTGCTGCCTGGAGTTCTTGGAGTCCCCCGTTGTCACTGTCCCAGTTCCCACGCTGGAACCCCTGACTGAGTCCCTTTCAGGCAGACTCGGTGCTGGCTGCCACTCAGACTGTGCCATAGCGGTCCACCTGGGGCAGAGGAACGGGAGGTAGCAAAACAATACCAAGGGGCCAAGACGGTGCCCACAGGTAGTGGCTACCTGGGCCCTGGAGGGGTCCTCAGGGACGCTGGAGTGTGGGCTGGGCTGGCCGGTTGCTCTAAGAGTCTGGACATCTTTCCCAAACCCGAGACTCCAAGGACACGAGGAGCATAGATGGTTGGGTAGACAGAAGTGGAAAACATCCTGAGCTCAGACCGAGGAGAGCCTGAGTTTGGGATCAGTGCTCTTGAACACAGGTCCCGGGTGGCCATGCGAGCACTTGGCTCGCCAACCTTGGCTGCCATCTGGGGAGGAACCATTACACGCTGACCCGTGGGATGTTCGGTGCTGTTTAACCTGTGTGCAAGGAGGTGTGAGCCAGGAAACTAGGACTGGGCTGCATCTGAGCTCCTCCCACAGGGGGCTCACAGCCCTCTCCTCGCCCCAAGTGGCACGGGCTCTTGGCCTGACAGGAGGGACCTATAACAGCAGCCAGGGTCCCACCAGGAGCCGCCCACTGGGCTGGGAACCAGCCTCTCTTCTCCATCCACCCATTCCAAACCCACAGGCGGGGGGGGGGCGGGGGGGGAAAGGGGGTAACTGAGGACTGAGCTGGGGTGGGGGCGGGGCCGGCAGTGGAGAAGGGCAACCCTGAACATGAGGACTTGTATAGGGGTGAAGGTTGGCTGCGGGGTGGGGCGGGGTGGATGAGGAGAGCTGCCTGGTGGTGGGCACGGGTTGGGGGGCTAAGATTGGAGCTGGTACCACAGCACCCCCAGGTTCCCGTTGGGGCTAACTGGGTAAAAGGCAGCTCGGGAGGTCATGGTGGGATCCAGTGTTATGGTTTTCCTGCGCTTCTGGTAATGTGCGGCCCTCTCCCACATTCCTGGCCATCTTCTTGGTGATTTCAGATTGCCAACCGGGCGGGGGACACTGAGAAAGGTAGGGGAGGGCATCTGCGCTGGGCCCAGGCTGGCAGAGCTGCACCACCCTGCTAGGAGGCTCTTCCTAAGGGGTCTCCATCTGTCCTGAAAGTCACAGTGGAGTCTGACTTCACTAGAGGGTCCTTTGTGGAATGCTGGGAGGGTGCAGGGCGGACCTGGAGGCTAAGCTGCAAAGGAATGCTGCTGGCTAGAGAGTGCCCGGGTGTAGCCAGCCCGGAGACGGGGCTCGGTCTTCTGTTGCCCAGGAGAAGGGGGCAGCAGCTGAGCGTCTCTCGAATGGCCGAGTGGCCCCTGTGTCTGGGGTCTGTGGCTCTCTTCTTTCCCCTCCTTAAGGTGCCCCACCCTGTCTTCCTCGCCCTGGGACAGGCAAGTCCTGCTACCCTCCCCCTCCAACTTTGACCTGAAGCTTGAGTCAGGTGGGTGGGGGCACTGAAGTGAGGGCTTCTCCATGCCGTGGGCTGGCCTCAGATTCCTCTGTCACCCCGGGTCCCAGATACAGGGTCTCTCTGTCCGGAAACAGCACCCCCATATTGAAGGGGGCTCACACTCAGAACTCCCAGTCCCACCACACGGAAATTTCACCGGATCATTTTTCTAGAGTTGAGGGTCTACCCTTGGGCTCTCCTGCGCAGCTCCTCCCCAAGGACCACTAGAGCAGCGCCCATTTTCTCTAGGTCCCTCCCTCCCTGGGCCTGGGCACTTCATGTCTGTATTTCTGGTGACCCCACACCCGGGTAAAGTAGTTGATGTCATCCCCGTTTTGTAGGTGAAGAAACTCCAGAGAAGTAACTTGTGCATAGCCTAGCACACAGCTCGTAAGTAGCAGAGACTGGGTTCCTCTGCAGCCATCTGTTTCTGCCCACACCCTCCAGGGTGTGAGCCAGGGAGCTCACCCTTCAGTGAGGTGGCCAGCTCTACACTTCAGCGACAGGAACATTTCCCTCTCCTGAACCTGCCCCCCTTGTAACTCCTTTTTGACTGTGTGCTCAGAGGCTGACCCCCGGTGCCCTCCAGTCACTGAGAGGTAGGGGACAGAGATCACAACCACCTCAAGCTGGGACTCCTTGGTCTGGCATTTTCTGGGTGCCCCATCCCAGGAATGAAATCCAAATGGCAGCTCACCTGGGTGCCCCAGCACTCATGTTGGCTCTGGCGTCCTCCCCCTCCAGGTTGCTGAACGAGAGTGACAAGCGCCCCTTCATTGAGGAGGCCGAGCGCCTGCGGATGCAACACAAGAAGGACCATCCGGACTACAAGTACCAACCTCGGAGACGGAAGAATGGGAAGGCAGCCCAGGGGGAGGCGGAGTGCCCAGGCGGAGAAGCTGAGCAAGGAGGGCCTGCTGCCATCCAGGCCCACTACAAGAGTGCCCACCTGGACCACCGGCACCCGGAAGAGGGCTCCCCCATGTCAGATGGGAACCCAGAGCACCCCTCGGGTGAGTGCTGAGTTGGGAGCTAGCAGTGGACTGTGGGAGCAGCTGCCAAGGGGCTGGGAGGAGCCGGACAGTGGAGAGTTCCCCAGCCTGAGCCGGGATCTGAGAAGGCTTGGCCAGGCATGCAGCTCCCCTAGCTGGAGTGCAGAACCCGGAGGCAGTTCAGGGGGGATTTTGGTAGCTTGCAGTTAGGCAAGGTGTCTAGGGAGGGTCACTGGTTCTGGGCAAGGAAAGCCGTGGAGTTCATGAGGTGAGAAGACACCACAGCAGCCGCAGAGAAAGGGCAGAGGGATGCTTTTGAGAAACAAACAAAAAAGACAGGTGGTGTCGCACACCTTTAATCCCAGCAGAGGCCGATCTCTGTGAGTTCGAGGCCAGCCTGGTCTACAGAGTGAGTTCCAGGACAGCCAGGGGCGTGCAGAGAAACCCTGTCTGGAAAAACCAGAAAGGTGTGGGGGAGGGGGTGATCAAACATGGGTGGAGAGGAAACCCCTGCCTCCTCCAGCTCCTGCCCCAGGGTGATGCTGAGCAAGCCCTTTCCACGGAGGGCCCAGACGTGGCCCGTTCATATTTAGCTCTCATTGAAGATGTGAACACGCAGTGTGCCAGGCACAGGCTGGTTGCCTTGTGTACTGATTTCTTCCACCAAGCAGTCAGCCCCAAGTGCTGTGGTGGGGTGCCAGCACTCAGATCACCATCGTTCTAGAGATAAGGAGACAGAAGAAGGAGCTTGCTCTGCAGCTGAGGTCTGAGCCCAGGTGGTGGGACTGCAGGACTTGAGGTTGGCTCTATGGCTGCCTCACTTGTGTCCCTCATAAACAGAGTGCCAAGGTGTAGAGAGGGCTCAGTGAGCAGAAAACTCTGCCTTCCGAAGACAAGCTAAGTCCTTTGTTTCAAGCATCGGAGAGGACGCCAGGAGAAGCTCTTGTTCCCTGACTCAATTGCCTACAGTCTAGAGGGAGGACTAGGGATGAAATCTGGTGAATGATATATAGGAGAAACTAGTCTTAGAGACTCAGAAGCTTCTGTCTGTCCAGGAAATATCCATCTCGAGTGTAATCAGGGAGGGACTCCCCAAGATACAGTATCTATGCTCCCTGGACTCGACTCCACTCTACTGACAAACTGCTTAAAAGAAGGTTGAGGCCGGGCGTTGGTGGCGCACGCCTTTAATCCCAGCACTCGGGAGGCAGAGGCAGGCAGATCTCTGTGAGTTCGAGGCCAGCCTGGTCTACAGAGTGAGTTCCAGGACAGCCTCCAAAGCTACAAAGAAACTCTGTCTCGAAAAACCAAAAAAAAAAAAAAAAAAAAAAAAAAAAAAGAAGGTTGAGGGTTTGCCAGGGGTCATACAGTGAATGGCAGAGCCAGAATTCAAGCCTCGGTAGGTCTCCTAAGTTCGGAGCCCTTGGCTAATGAAGGACTTGACACTGCAGCTGCTAGCCTTACAATGCAATGCCATGGGCTTGTTTCTCTGTGATGGGATGCTCGGTCTAGTCACCTCCCTACATGCCATCTCATCATCAGAACCTCTGGGACATTCAGATGCACTTAATGAGACATCCCCCAAACCCCTGGGACAGCAGGTGGCTTCCTTGTCTAGTCTCCTCAGTCCTTTGCATGTCCCTTCACAAGGCACCTACTGCGGGCAGAGCCTTGAATGGGCTCTTATCCCTCCATGGCTGCAAGCTTTTGGAGACAGGGCCTGATTTTATTTCCATCTACCCCTAGCATCTGGCACACTGCCTGGCACTTAGCAGTGCCCTGAGCATTTGCTGAGATGTTTGGATGAGAAAGTTAACAGACAAAGAAAAGGGGGCCAGCAGGGCGAGAGTAGCCAGGCTTAGTGCTGTTTGGAGGTAGTAAGAGGTAACAGTCCAAAGTGGGCGGGGCAGGTGGGCTTAGACAGAGAGTGACCGCAGATGTCAAGGGTGCTCTGAAGAGCAGGCAGGGCCCAGGACAATGGTCCAGCATGACCCAGTAGGGTCAGCCATTAGGCAGCACATCAGGGAAGCTGGTCTCAGAGGTCAGCATCCTGCTGCTTAGAGCTGGGCCAATAGGCTTTCTTGGGGTCCACTTGCCTTTAACCTGCTCATTCTTGCTCTTCCCGCCTCTCTCCTATCCAGGCCAGAGCCATGGCCCTCCCACCCCTCCAACCACCCCAAAGACAGAGCTGCAGTCCGGCAAGGCAGACCCCAAAAGGGATGGGCGCTCCCTGGGAGAGGGCGGGAAGCCCCACATTGACTTCGGCAACGTGGACATCGGGGAGATCAGCCACGAGGTAATGTCCAACATGGAGACCTTTGATGTGACTGAGCTGGACCAATACCTGCCACCCAATGGGCACCCAAGCCACGTGGGTAGCTACTCAGCAGCCGGCTACGGGCTGGGCAGTGCCCTGGCTGTGGCCAGTGGACACTCTGCCTGGATCTCCAAGCCACCAGGTGTGGCTCTGCCCACGGTCTCACCCCCTGGAGTGGATGCCAAAGCCCAGGTGAAGACAGAGACCACAGGCCCCCAGGGACCCCCACACTACACTGAGCAGCCGTCCACTTCCCAGATCGCCTACACCTCCCTCAGTCTGCCCCACTACGGCTCCGCCTTCCCCTCCATCTCACGCCCTCAGTTTGACTACTCTGACCATCAGCCCTCAGGACCCTACTATGGCCACGCAAGCCAGGCCTCTGGCCTCTACTCAGCCTTTTCCTACATGGGGCCCTCTCAGCGGCCCCTCTATACGGCCATCTCTGACCCCAGCCCCTCGGGGCCCCAGTCCCACAGCCCCACACACTGGGAGCAGCCAGTATATACGACTCTGTCCCGACCATAGAGGGGGCCCTGCCACCACCAGTCCCTACCTGGCCCCAGGGCCCCGCCCCCAGCCTGTGTGTCCTGCTCCCCATCAGCCCCAGGCCTGGCAGTGGCAGTGGCGGAGGCTGCAGGGGCTGACAGCAGCAGGGAGGTTTCTGCCAGCTCCTGCCCTGATGACCTCCACACACCCCGGCTCTGGAGGCCCAGCCCTGCCTGAGCTGGCAGAGGAGTTTGGTGGCTGCCCCAGACTGAGGGTGAGGGGCCGCCCACCCCTGGAAACGGCCTGTCTCCTCCTTAGAGATAAGGGGCTCAAACGCCCATGTGCCATTGTGTCACAGTGCCTAAGAGCTAGGCTGCCCAGGGACCTGCCTCAGAGCTGGAGCTGGCTCTGTCCTGTCACTCGGGACTGAGGACAGCTTTGAACAGCTTTGTGGAGAGGCTGGGACACTCAATGGAAGCTCCGATTCTTTCAATAACCCCTCCTCACCTGAATGCAGGAAGGAACTGGCAGAGGTCCCCAGATCCAACTCTGTGTCAATAACCTCATCCTGTGTCTGAGGACAGACCCCAGGCTCTTCCCCAACACCTCCCACACCTCAAAGCCCACCCCAAGTGACGAGGCTAGCGTTCCAGGAAAGGGCAGAGCCAACTCACCCAGCCTTCCTCTCCCCTCCTGACCCAGCCTCAAGTCCCCAGGCTCAGAGTTAGCACTGCACGGGCCCTAGTCCCAGAGCCCAGCACCCAGGCTGCTGGCAGCAGGCTGGACACTAAATCCCTGCTGTGTACACTCCACCCTTGTCCTGTGCCCTTCGCTGCAGCGATCGATACCTTAATAAAGTGTGTAGCTGTCTCCCCATCTGTTCTGCAGCCCAGTCCACATGTAACACATGGATGCCCCCTATTTATCTCCATAGTCGCCATGCTCCTCCTCCCTCTAGCTACCCCAGTCCCCATTAACTTTCATTAAGCACTCCAAGTAATAAAATCAAAACTTCTGGTCGCCTACTTGGTGGCCTGATCTGGCCTGTCTCTTGGTCTCTTATCCTCGTGCCTGTGCTTCTTCAAATGCTTTCCGGAACTGCTGCCAGGAGAGCACAAAGGTGAGCAGTCCTAGGATCTTTCTCCCTTAAGGAGGGTAGTTCTGTAGAATCCAGGGATGGACTCCTGTAGCTGCACTTCTGTATCCATCCCTCCCCCAGTGCATAGAAACGTGTGACGAGAGAGAGAGAGAGAGAGAGAGAGAGAGAGAGAACAGCAGAGAGAGAGAGAGAGAGAGAGAGAGAGAGAGAGAGAGAGAGAGAGAGAGAGAGAGAGAGAGAGAGAGAGAAATTCCAGCATCTAGCCAAGCCATCACAGCAGAGGCCTGTGTCTAAGCCAAGAAGCTCTGTTCATTTGTGCTTCCCAAGAGTCTGTACCCAGTAGGGGTCATGACCAAGGCCACTGCTAAGCTCACATCACCAGGGTCAGGGGAAGTCTCTACCAAGTTGCTCCGACAGGAAGGGCCAATGGCCAACATTCCCACAGTAGCCAAGTTCCTAGTGTGTCCTTGGTTGCTGGCTTTGCCAGGGTGGTACATCCTTTAGCCTCCGAGGGAGTGGCCCCTGTTGCTTGATGTTTTGGCGCCCTAATGACAGCATGTGCCCTGAACCACTTGTTCCAAGCCCCACTTCATCCCTCCTTCTCCACCAGTCCTTGAGAGGGTGGGTACCACTCCATCTAAACACTGTAGCCAGAAAACTCCAGCCACCTCCCCCACGCCACTGGTTCCCTTGGAGCTTGGTTATGAAACCCTTGTTCTCTTCAACAATATCTGATGCAGCGTCAGACCACCCACCCTATACAGAAGTTGGTTTTGTTTTTTTATTGGTCTTTATTATATCTTTTACCTGTTGGGTTTGACCCGTTGCTCTGCCTCTATTAAATCTTAGGGCCTAGCGAAGTCCAGGTGTATGCATCTATGTATGTGAGTACCTTCACTGAAGTCACTAATAAAGGCTGGGAAGTAAAGGGCAGGGCTTGCACATGCCACGGGTGCCCCTCCTCCTCAGCTGTCCTCCCCACACATGGACTGTCCTTTACCCATTGCAGGCGAAGGAGACGCCAACTCCCGGGGAAAACCAAAGGCCAGTGATCAGGGCGGTCCCTTGACCTACCAGCCCAGAAATCAGAGAAAAAAATGTTTTTCTTTTGACTTGACAATACTAACTCTTAAGACCCCTCCTGGCTTTCATCCTATAACAGCACTATCAGATACAAAACCTTGCATGCTGACGCTCAGCTGCCACCCTACTGAAAAACAGGACATTTGTCCACTTCAGTCTAAGCACCGCTCCTGCTCTGACGAGGGACTGCAGAGTTGGCAAGATGGAGGGGCCCATCAAGGGGGGCTGCCACCTCATGAGACTGACCATGTATAGGCAACAGGAAAATGTCCGTGGGAAAGACAAAAATGGAAGCCAACACTGGTGGGCTGTGCGCATGCCTTGGAACAGGTTTGGGTGTGCTCTGGCAGAGCAGAAGCTCCAGAGTCAGGTGTGTTTAAATGACCCAGATGACCTTAAACCTAGAGAATGGAAGCCTTTACAATGTTGGCAAATGATGTACATTCAGCAGGAGACAAACCCAGACCCAGCCAGCCGAATGAGGGGCTTCCCAAGAGCATCGGAATGTGAAGAGGAGAGAGGGGAGGCTGCCCTCTTCTCCATCTCCTTACACCCTATCCCCTAAGGGTTAACCCCCCTCCTCCCCAAGCTCCATCTCCCTTTAATCACATCTGATACTGAGCAGCCCAGCAGGAAACAAAGGTCCCATTTAGAGAAATGGGGCCGAGAAAGTGACCCCGCACTCTGGGGTGGCTGCCTGGATGCCGGCACAAAGGCGGCATTTCAGAGCTGAAATTTCAGCACCCTGCTTGATTAAAGGATTCCAAAAGCTTGGAGGAGGGTGACAGGGGTGCGAAGTCTGTGACTCCCAGAATTAACCCCGTCCAGAGCAGCAAGCACCCCTCCTACTCCTGTGGCCGCTCATCCTTCCCACCCTGACCAGGGTGTCCGATCCCACACGAGTGCCATGCCTCCTCGGGGTTGCAGTGGACCTGAGGTTAGGCCAATCTTCCGCCTAGTAAGCCAGTGTCCATGGCTGCCTTCTTTTCTAAAAACATTCCTCAGCAAGGTCTCATACAGCCCAGGCAGGTCTTGAAGCTGCTGTGCGAGCCTCCCGCCTCCACGGTTCTGGATTATAGGTGTGCCCCACCCACATCTCTACCACAGGATATGAAAGGCTCTTCCTGGGGTGGGGAAACAGGGTGCACAAGAGAGTCCATTGGCAGAGGCAGGAGAGGAGCTCCAGCCCGCGTCTGAGAAGCAGAGGCAGGAGAGGAGCTCCAGCCCGCGTCTGAGAAGCAGAGGGCACAGGTGGCAGACCAGAGAGAGGGCCACGAGAACACTGTGTGGCACAGATCCGGGACGGCTGGGCAGGTGCTTGGTCCTTGCTGACTTGCCCAACAGGGCTCTGCCTGGGGACAGTGGGGGATCACTGCACCCCCACACTTCCTGCTAGGGCACCACTCCTGAAAGGGGATCTGAGACCTTGATAAGAGCTCGAGGCAGGTCCCTAGGAACAATGGCTGGCTTGATGAGACCTGCTCTGTGATACTCCTGAGAAGGGAGAAGCCCCTGCAGCCAGTCCCCACTGGAAAGGAAATTGGGGGTTTCCATGGCAACCAGCTCCCTGGGCACAAAGACTCATCTGTCTGCTGAGAAGGCAGCTGAGGTGTCTCCCCTGCAGCAGCTTTTGCTCTGGTGCGTGGGGAGATAGAGGGAGGGATGGGGGGGCACCCACGGGGCGCTTCAGAAAGAGCTAACAGTCGCAGGGCCACCTCAATGTGGGCGCACTCTCTGCAGCAGGACAGGAACAAGGAGGCAGCAGGTGGCAGCACTGCAGATAGAGGGACAGCTGGGCGGAAAGGTGACGTTTATTATTTACATGTACAAAGTAGGCAGAGAAGTGGCACCCAGGCACAGTCGGCAGCTCTGCTCAGTCAGTGATGATGAGCTCATCCACACCCCAGTCCTCGTAGCTTCCATCTGGCAGGTAACGGCGAATGATGATTGGGATCTTCCGGGCCCTGTTATGGGGAGAAGTCCCAGGACGTGAGGGCTGGTGCCCTAGCTCCGAGCAGAGAACAGGTGGCAGAAGTGTGTGTCACATAAATGCCCTCCTTCCACTCCCAGGGCCTCACTAGGAATGAGCCAGAGATCTACAGGATCAAACACCACCTGCCCTAGACAGGCCTGAGAGCTGCATGCTGGGCTCTGGAGGAAAGGACACCACTGTCTGAGGCACTTACTTGAGTTCCTTCATGGCGATGAGCAAAGGGTCTGTCTCCCCCTCCAGCTCCACCATCACGGGAGCACACATCCTGCAGGGACAGACACGGAGACAAGGCTCAGAGAAGGTGACTATGGTGTCCTGATCCTCATTTAGCAAGGTCACCTAGACAGGGCAGCAGTGGTCTCAGTAGTATACAGGGAGCTGCCACTAAGCAGAGAGCAGACCAGCAGGTTGGATTTAAATTGTGCTTCTAAGGACAAGTCACTAGGTTGTTCTCCCCATCCCAATAGCCTTATTTAAAAAAGATATTCCCACCTCACTGGGAAAATGATGACAAAAAACCCTAAAAACTAGAAGATTCCATGCCATTCACGACTGACACTCTCTCGTTGAAGGGAGTCCTACTTTGACAACTATTTTCTTGAAAGGAAACTAAGGTACAGAAAGGTAAGCGCCTGCTCAAGGTCACACACACAGGCAGGGGGCAGAGCCAAGGTCTGCTCCTCACCACGGTGTATGGTATGTCCCATGTAACACACCGGCACCATCTAAACGTGACACTCGTCAGAAAGGATCTTCATTCTTACCACGTCAGGCCAACCCCACAAGCCCTTCACAGCAACACCCCCAGAAGGCTCCCACTCTTCCAGCCTGGGCCCATCCAAGCACCCACAACAAACTTCTACGCCTTCCTCCTCCACTGTGTTACGGTTCTGAAGTGTCCCCTATGCTCTTAAGTTAGCATGATGTCAGCACTGGAGGAGGGGCCTTTGGAAGGTCATGAGGGTAAAGAGGAGAAACAGAAATCCAGGCCAGCGGGGCTGCATGGTCTCACCGTGTCACACTCTGCCATCTTACGCTGCAGCTTGAGGCCTCATCGGGTGCAGGTGCCATGTTCCTGGGCCTCCAACCCCCAGAAATGTGAGCCAAATGTGCCGAGCCAGGAACCTGCCTCACGTGCTCTGTCACAGTCACTGCAAGCAAGCTCGGACACCTGCACATTCCATATCATTCTCCTGAGTCCCTCTCTCCAGAAGCCTGAGACTCAGTGTCCCCACCCTGGAAATGACTGTCTTCAGTGCCCGTTACATTACATATGCCTTTTGTGGCATCAAAGCCACTAGCCTACTGTTCACAGCAGACCGTGAGCTTCCAGTGGCCCAGACCGCAGCTGATGCTTGGTCTAAGCAGAGGCCCCAACACCACACAGGGAGATGTCAACTCCAGGCACGCCTCCTAAGAAAGACATCTCTCATTACTCTGGATGGCCTTACACCAATAAATCCAGGGCCCACGCCTTCTCTAGACCATCAGGACAGATTTTATATTTTATTTATTTATTCTTTAAGGCAGGGTTTCTCTGTGCAGCCCTGGTTGTCCTGAAACTCACTCTATAGACTAAGCTGGTCTTAAACCCACAGAGATCCACCTGCCTCTGCCTACTAAGTGCTGGGATCAAAGGCGTGTGCCACCACCTCCCAGCTTCTTTGAAAATTTTTTCTTATTTTATTTACTTATTGTGCATACATTGTTCCTGCCTGCACACCAGAAAAGGGCACCAGATCTCATTATAGATGGTTGTGAGCCACCATGTAGTGCTGGGACTTGAACTCAGGACCTCTGGAAGAGTAGCTGGTGCTCTGAACCTTAGCCACCTCTCCAGCCCCTCTTTAAAAGTTTTAATTACTTTATTTTATATGTATGGGTGTCTTGCCTGCACGTAGACCTATGCCTTTGAAGGACATTGAATATCCGGGAACTGGAGGGACAGATGGTTGAGTCATCGTGTGGGTGGTAGGAATCAAACCTGTGTCCTCTGCAAGAGCAGCAGGTACTGATGATTGTTTCTTCAGCCCTGGGCCAGATTTCTAATGAAGGGTTCTGAGGATCGCACTTTCAGACCTGCTGCGTGCTTTGGAGACCAACCAGTTTGAAAGCTACATTGACTATTTATTTTGATCTCTGCTATTCTCAAAAGCCTGCATTTTCCCAAGGGCAGAAACCAAGTGTCTTTCTTTCCTGAATAGAAAAATATTCCCCAAACATGGGGTGTAGGTCAGCAGTAGGCCCTGGGCTTAGTTCCTAACACCAAGAAAACAAAAGAAATACATCTCTATAAGCCTTACAGACCATGCATGGCCACCCTGGCATATCTGTAATGCCCACTGTATATAAAGCCTTACAGACCATGCATGGCCGCCCTGGCCTGCCCGGGCCTGGTCTCTCCAGATGGAACAGGAGTAACTCAAAGGCATTCTTTCCTCAGTGCCCTATGGACATGCAAAGTTCAAGTGTGGCCTCAAGTGACTCATGCTGCAATTTACCAATAAGCAAGCCATCCACCCAGCTCCAAGTAGTGAGCGACATCAGCCACCAGGTGGTGCTAGCAGGCCAGACTGAGCCCAACTGAAGCTATCCAAAGACAGAATTCAGTCTGGCTGTGAACCACAGGCAGGGAGGGCACCAGCAAAGGGCACTGGATCCCTCAGGGAAGGAGCACTAAAGCCTGGGCTATGCTGGAGCCCTCTTCCTTCCAAAGAAAAATGTCAGTTGTCTTGGATGAGGGTTGTCTGGGCATTTCACACTCTATGAATGCTCCACACTGGCTTATCAAATATCAATTTGAACCTGTCCCTGTAGGGTTGACTGACATCTTTCACTAATTTTGTTCCTTAAAGTTTTTTTTAATTGTCTGTGTTTGTGTGCCTATGTTGGGGTACGTGCAGAAAAGGAAGTGCCTATGGAGGCCAGAAGCATCAGACCCCCTGGAGCTGAAGTGACAGGTAGCTAAGACTCAGTTCCTCTACAACAGTATGTGTCCTAACTTCTCGCCAGCTTTTTTATTATTTTTGGTTTTTCAGGACGGTTTCTCTGTCCTGGAACTCACTCTGTAGACCAGGTTGGCCCTGAACTCACTTAATTTAAATGGCCACATGGAAGTCAGTGAGTGACACGCAGACAGAACAGGCTGACAGGACTGTACCCTCTGAAGGTGGCTCCAACTTTACTCAAAGGAGCCAAGGATGCTAGAGAAAAGTCTATTGCTGCCCACACATAAAACCCCTTATCCAGGCAGACACTGCAGTCATCTTTACCCAGGGCCGAGTGAACCTGCGGGAGGGGATGCAGACGGCACTGGGCCTCCCCATGCCCTGCGGCAGGACGCTCAGTCTGTTTTTCTTTCTCTGATCTCCCTAGTCCCTCCTTCAGCATCCACCACCACCCACACCAACATGTCACAAGTCCAGCGGTGTCTCTCAGGCTCAGGTCTAGGTTACACTAGATGGCCTGGGTCTGTCTACCGTCCCCAGAAGCCAGAAGCTACCGCAGCTCTCAGGCTTTCCCAAGTGAAGGGCCCTCCTTACTCCACCGGGCTGGCCAGTCCCCGAATCCACCGTCATTCCACTTCACGAAACAGACAGGAGTTATCCGAACTCAAGCCATGATCCTCCTGCTTGTCTCCTGAGTGTCTGTGCCACCAGGCCTATCTAGGACTTTTTTTGTCACTGTTTTCCTCGGTTACTTTTCATGGCCTGTCTTTCTTTACATGACACCACGCAGCGCATGGTCAGCAGCCCGGGGCTCACTGTGGCCCAGCTGATGGAAACCACAGCAAAGGGGCAACACTTACGCGATCTGGAGAGCCCGGGTGCCCAGGACACGGGCTCGCTCATACTTGGTCATGTAAGGAGTAGTGATGCGCTTCTGGTTGGCCTGTGGTCGCTCACCAGAGGGGAGGATCTCAACATTCTCCTGACCCTCCTGGATACCAAGAAAACAAAGATGGGAAACCTCAGGGCAAGTTTTGGGTCAGGGAAGATGATGACAATGACACTCAGCACCATTACCACTTTCTGGATGCAAGGACTATACAAAGACTCACTAATATCCCATTCCTTACCACCTTGTCAGGCAGGGATGAAGCCCCCATTCCAAGGGCTTCAAAAGCCAGCCAATCTGACTAAAGTCTCCAAGCTAGCAGTAAAGAGGACTTCAGTCAGGATATAGAGCCAGCTGCTCTGCCCAAAAGGAGACTGGTCCTATAAGTGATAAACATACCTAAACAGGAAGTCACACAAACACACAGGACAACTGAGTCAATGGGTTGAGTGACTAGAACAGTCAGGGTAAGGAGGAAGTCATACCAGAAGGGACCAGACCCCCACTCAGCCCCCTGCTTTAGCAGCCATGACAGGCTACAGAAAAGACACGTAGGCCTCTGACACAAGGAAACTCCAGATCCTCTGACCTCCAAGAGTCTAGGGCCAAAACTGAACACAAAAAAACTCCAGATCCCCCCCCCCCCCACCTCAGCCTCCTAGATCTTGGTTCCTGGGAACTGTTTGGCCATAAAAGAAACTCCAAGGGAAACAAAAACCTCTGTAGTCTCCAGGATACATTTCTGAAAACTATTGGTATCTATGAACAACAGAATAAGCCAGGTGTTGGTGGCGTACACCTTTAATCCCAGTACTCAGGAGGCAGAGGCAGGCGGATCTCTGTGAATTCGAGGACAGCCTGGTCTACAAACAGTTCCAGGACAGGCTCCAAAACAATACAGAGAAACCCTGTCTCAAACCCCCCCCCCAAAAAAAAGAAACCACACAGAATGTTCCCTCTCAGCACTGACCAATGAAAGTAATTGGTTCACAGGTATTTCATGCCAAAATAGGACTTTGAGAAATTCTCGTAATTGTTCCCAAATGTCAACCAATCACTAACCAATCTGTACCTACTGATGTAATCCTGTAACTTTTGTCTTTAAAACCTAGCAGTAGCCGGGCAGTGGTGGCACACACCTTTAATCCTAGCACTCAGGAGGCAGAGGCAGGCGGATCTATGTGAGTTCGAGGCTGGGCTGGACTGACAGCCTCCAAAACAATACAGAGAAACCCTGTCTCGTAAAACCAAAAAACAAAACAAAACAAAACAAAAAGTAGACAGGAAACTTCACTCCCTCTGGAAGCTGCTGTGACAGCTAGCCAGACAGGGTTCCTGTCATGGGTGGATGAACAATCATTAAACCTTGCTTTTGCAATTTAGTGGGTCTGTCTCCCTGGTGGTCTCTGGGGATCTTCGAAACTTGGGCACAACAATATCATACTGAGCAATGACTGGCTACACATCTGTTCAGGCTATGCTGAGGACACACAAGGCCCTGGGTTCCATCCTCTGCAACACACACACACACACACCTGGCCAAACACTGCCATCCACAGATACTGAGGCTCTGAAAGCAGAGCCATGACCTAGAGAAAACACGCACAGAGCAGCAGCTGCGGCCAGGAATGCACACAGCCTAGAGTTTACAGGACTCTGAAACCAAGAACAAGGGCCTAAATGTGGGTCCTCAGTCTCCATGTAAGAGTCTGGGTAGACAACAGTGTGTGCCTATATCCACAGAACTAGGAGGCATCGACAGAAAGATTTCTGGGGCTTGTTGACTGACAGCCTAGCCAAAGCAGTGAACCCAAGTTCAGAGAACGACAGAGGCTAACACCTGACAGCAACCTCTGCCCCTCCATATGCACTATACAGCTGAGCACACAGGACACAGACACACATGTGCATATGCACACATTTTTCTTTGTTTGAGACAGGGTTTCTCTGTGTATCCTTAGCTGTCCTGGAACTTATTCTGTAGACCAGGCTGGCCTTGAATTCACAGAGATCCGCCTGCCTCTGCCTCCCGAGTGCTGGGATTAAAGGCGTGTGCCACCACCAGCTGGCACACACCCACACACAAAAAAATTTTTTTAAATAGAAAGTGTTTGCTGACTACTTACTATAGGTCCAATGGTATTTTAAGTGCTTAGGATAGAGTACTGAATAAAACAGATCAAAGCTACTTCTACCAGAACTCACACCTTTAATCCCAGCACTCAGGTGGCAAAGGAAGGATGATTTCTGTGAGCTAGAGGCCAGTCTGGTTTAAATACTGAGTTCCAGGGCTAAGTACTAAGAACAAGTCTTTTTTTTTTTTTTTTTTTTTTTTTTTTTGGTTTTTCGAGGCAGGGTTTCTCTGTATTGTTCTGGAGGCTATCCTGGAACTCGCGCTGTAGACCAGGCTGGCCTCGAACTCACAGAAATCCGCCGCCCTCTGCCTCCCGAGTGCTGGGATTAAAGGCGTGCGCCACCAAAGCCCGGCGAAGAACAAGTCTTAAAAAAAAAAATCCATGGGGCTGGAGAGATGGCTCAGAGGTTAAGAGCACTGACTGCTCTTCCAGAGGTCCTGAGTTCAATTCCCAGCAACCACATGGTGGCTCACAACCATCTACAATTCAATCTGGTGCCCTCTTCTGGCAGAACACTGTATATGTAATAAATAAATAAATCTTTAAAAAAAATCCATAACAAGACTCAACAAGCCGGGTGTTGGTGGTGCACACCTTTAATCCCAGTACTTGGGAGCCAGAGGCAGTCGGATCTCCGTGAGTTCAAGAAACAAGAGCTAGTTCCAGGACAGGCTCCAAAGCTATGCAAAGAAACCCTGTCTCAAAAAACAAAAAAAAAGGAAAGAAAGATAAGATGCAACAATCCTAAGACGTATCTGAGGTGACACTTAGGCAAAAGCAAAGTGTGTCTGTAGGAGACACACTCCTGGAAAGGGGAGCGGTGAAACCTGTGGGCCACCATCACACCCCACTGTCTAGCATCCAGGTTGCAGTGCAGGAAGCTGAGGATGGCTACTGACCTCCTCGGCGTTTTCCAAGTCATCTAGTCCTTCGTCCTCTTCCACATCATCAAAGTCATCGCCGTCAAAACTAAGCCAGAAGAAACTGGTGGTTAGAATCACCTGCCAGAAGCAGGGACACAGCTTGGGGCCTCTGCTGTGATGTAGGAGGGACCAGCAAATCTCAATAAGGGAATCCAACTCTGGCTTCACAGTGTTCCAGATGAATGTGTATATGTGAATAGCATCTCTTTCTTTCATATACATGTGGGTTGTGTGTGTGTGTGGGTGTGTGTGTTTCACACTTTAATCCCACCATTTGGAAATGGATCTCTCTAAATTCCTTTTTTTCCTGAGACAGGGTTCCTCTGTTCTGGCTGTCCTGCAACTCGCTTTGTAGACCAGGCTGGCCGTTTCGAACTCACAGAGATTCGCCTGCCTCTGCCTCCCAAGTGCTGGGATCAAAGGCGTGCACCACCACCGCCCGTCCCGGCTGTATCTCTAAACTCGAGCCACCTGGTATACAAATAAATAAAATATATGTCCAAAATTCAGCGGGGTCTGGTGCCTCACAACACTTGGGAGGCTCAGCAAGGAGGACTGTGGCGAATTCAAAGCTAGCCTTAGCTACAAAGTGAATTCCCGACCAGTCTGGGTTTCAGAGTGCGACCCTGCCCCAAGCAACACTAAACTTACGGCCACCTCTGCTACAAACCAGCGCCCGCTCCCAGCCTTCCAAGGCCATGCTCTGGGTTGCTTCTTTCTTCCTAATTCCACGAACTACACGAACTACACCACCCGCATTCCCTTCCAGAAAGGGGGCGCCCGGGGGGCAAGGGCTACACGCGCTTGACTCTGCATGCTGCCCCGCACTGCTCCGCGAGGTAGGAAGTTCTGAAGACTTCGCCCCACAGACCCGGCATCCGGGTTAGCCTGTGCTCCAAGCGCCCGGCTCGCACCACGACCTCCTCCCCTCCGAGCCCGCGCTCACTTGTCCTCGTTGTCTGACATGACGCCTTCGCCGCACTGGCCGGTCCCGAGCGCGGAACCGCGAAGCGCGCCACAGCGTCCCCCGGCACTACGCGTGGTCTGCGCCTGCGCCGTTACCCAAAGGCAATCACTTCCGGGAGGCAGCAGAGGCGGGTCGCAAATGCGCGTGCGTGGGGGCGTGTACGCTGGTTACCGTAGTAACCAGATGCGCTTGGTGCGAGCGCGGACACTCTGGCTTCCCCCGGGCTCTCCTTGAAGAAGGCGCCGCCGCGGGTAGGGTAAGCGCTCCCTCCGCCGGGGACCGACGGCCGGGGTGCTGGCGACGAGAGGCGGGGACTGCGGCGCGGTGAGGGCTGCTCATTGCCTCTCTCCCTCCTAGGGCCTCCCATGGCTTCACAGGAGAGGGTGGACGCGGTGACCAAAGGAAGTGGGTTCCGGCGCTGCCGTAGGCAGCTCGCTTACACGCCGGGAACCTGCGAGCTGCTCAGAGGTCAGTGCTCTAGAGAGACAGCGACAGGAGACTGGGATTCTGAAAGGTCCGGGAAAGGGTCAAAGGCCAGAGGACGGAAAATCGGGGGGTGGTTAGCTCATCTTTACATCGCACTTTCAATGAAGCCTATCTCCCTCCTACCCCGGTAAGACCCTCTCACACTATCAAATGCAATTCCCTACACTGGGCTTAGCACAATATATAGTCGATCGGATAGGCGTTTAGTTTCCCAACTATCACCTTTAAAAAAAAATGATTTATGGGCTGGAGAGATGGCTCAGCCGTTAAAGGCTAGGCTCACAACCAAAAAAAAAAAAAAAGATTTATTTTATGTGCATTGATGTTCTGCCTGCAAGTTATGTCTGTGTGAGGGTGCCAGTTTCCCTGGAACTGGATTGCTGGGAAATGAACCCAGGGCCTTTTTTTTTTTTTTTTTTTTTTTGAGACAGGCTTTCTCTGTGTAGCTTTGGAACCTGTCCTGGAACTAACTCTGTAGACCAGGCTGGTCTTGAACTAAAAGAGATCCATCAACCTGCCTTTGCCTCCAGAATGCTGGGATTAAAGATGTGCGCTACCACTGCCCAGGTGGGATGTTAATAAGAAAAAAATTAACGAGAAAAAATTATAGAGCTGGGGTATAGCTCAGTAATATATGCTAGGCATACATGAAGCTTGGGTTTCAATCCCATCACACCACACACAAAAAGGCTTGTTACAGTTGGAGAGATGGCTCAGTGGTTAAAAGCATGTACTGTTCTTCAAGACCCGAGTTCAGTCCCCAGCACCCAACTTAGCCTCTCACCAAAAGTGTGTGTCTCCTAGGTAAATATAATGATATGGGAGTGTGCTGCTTGAGAGGACTGCCTGAGCCCAAAAATGTTTGGCCTGGATAATTAATAATGGTCTTTAAAATAAAGTGAAATAAAGAATGTAGAGACGGGTGTTGGTGGTGCACACTTTTTTTTTTTTTTTTTTTTTTTTGGTTTTTCGAGACAGGGTTTCTCTGTATTGTTTTGGAGCCTGTCCTGGAACTAGCTCTTGTAGACCAGGCTGGCCTCGAACTCACAGGTGGTGAACGCCTTTAATCCCAGCACTCGGGAGGCAGAAGCAGTCAGATGTCTGTCTTGGAAAAAAAAAAAAAAGCACTGGCTGCCCTTCCAGAGGTCCTGAGTTCAATTCCCAGCAACCACATGGTGGCTCACAACCATCTGTAATGAGATCTGGTGCCCTCTTCTGACCTGCAGGCAGATATGCAGACAGACACTGTATACATAATAAACAGACTTTAAATAAAAAGCTGCATATAGTAGCTCATGACTTTAATCCCAGCACTCTGGAGGCAGAGGTGGGTGGATCTCTTCCAAGTTTGAGGCCTGCCCAATAAACAGCATGTTTCAGAACAGCCACATAGTAAGACCCTTTCTATAGATAGATAGACAGATAGATCGATCGATAGATAGATGATACAGACAGACAGACAGACAGACAGACAGACAGATAGATAGATAGATAGACAGATAGATAGGTGGATAAATAAATAGAAAAGGGGAAAGCCTGGCCGGGCGTTGGTGGCGCACGTCTTTAATCCCAGCACTTGGGAGGCAGAGGCAGGCCGATCTCTGTGAGTTCGAGGCCAGCCTGGGCTACAAAGTGAGTTCCAGGACAGCCTCCAAAACCACAGAGAAACCCTCTCGGAAAAAAAAAAGGGGGGGAGCCTGAAGTGTCTTGTGCTCTAGAGAAAAGGAAACAAGCAGAGCACTTCGTTGAAGTTGGGGAGGCAGTGCTAGGGTGGAGTTTAGGCAGGATGAGATGACATGAGGGAGACTCGGGAGCTTGCTGCAGCTCAGGAAGCCTCACAGAGGGCTTTATTTTGCAGTGATGATGAAGGAGTCCAAACTGACTAACTTTCAGCAACGACACATCATGGACACCGTAAAAAGTAAGGACAGTCACTGGAGAGACTTCCTGGGCAGAGGAGCCAATACATTTTTAAGGTTCCTCTATACAAAAGAGAATTTATTTCAAAAGATGAAGTCAGACTTGATGGTGTACATCTCTAGTCCCAGCACTCAGGAGGCAGAGACGGGCAGATCTCTGTGAGTTCAAGGCCAGCCTGGTCTACAGAGTGAGTTCCAGGACAGCAGGACCACACAGAGAAACCCTGTCATGGGAAAAAAAAAATCCAAACTGTTTTGGCCCAGTTGGTAGAGCCCTTGCCTTGGATGCACCAAGTCCTGGATTGCATCCCCAGCACCACATAAACCAGGTGTGGTGACACATACCTAGAACCCCCATGCCATGGAAGGTAGAGGCAGGAAGACCAAAAGTTTACAGCCATCTTTAGTTCTATGGGGGTTGGATAGAGGGCCTGCCTTTAAAAAAGCAAAAACCAAAACACAGGACTGGTGAGATGGTTAAGCAGGGAAAAGTGCCAAGTGTATCTGAGTTTAATCCTAGAACACAAGTGGACAGAGAGAACTGATTCCTACAAGTTGTCCCCTGACCTCTACACATACACACACACACACACACACACACACACACACACACACACACACACACACACACACAAAACCACAAAATAAAAGACCATGCCAAAGACTCAGTGTATAAGAATGTTTATTGCAGCATTGTCAGAAGTGGTAAAAATCCAACCCCCCCCCCCCCCGCAAAAAGAAAACCAAACCAGACAGAACCTGAATGACTAGCTGAATAAATAGTGTCATCATTCTAACAACTAATACATTGCTATAAAAAATAAGTTATAAATGTATCTTTATGGAAAGTTGGCCATGATAAATTGGTAAGTGAAAAGGGTCTATTGTTGACCATATGGTTTGATCCAGTGTTTAAGAACCGTATGTGTACACACCAAACAGAACATCCTTGGATGTGTGTTATAAGCATTGAGAACGATGAGCAACCACCTAACTGTTCCTCAGCCTGCACAGGAGCAGGCTGAGGCCCAGAGACTGCCCCTTTCTCTTTGGAAAGAAAGACAAACAGGTGCTGTCACTTGGCCCTTCTATTCCCAGGAGGAGCCCCTCTGCCCCTGCAGTGCAACCCAACATCCAGCCAGAGGGACTCTCCTTCCAAGAAGCCGTCTACTGCCACCTACCTACCTCCTATCCTGGCTACCCACTCCCACCTCCGGCCTGCCAGCATGTGTCAAGCCAATGGGGCATACAGCCGCGAACAATTCAAGCCTCAGGCCACCAGTATGTGACCAGCTTGGGCTAGGTGCTCCCTTCTGTCTTCTGGGGTCATAGCAGCCTGGGACCGACAGCACCATTCCAGTAATGGGTAACAAACCAACCCAGGCAGGTCTTCCTACGGCTTTCTTTCAAACGAATCCAGCTTTCCCAATCCCAGAAGGACACGTGGCTGTCAACTGCTTATCCTCCCAGTCCCTCAATTCCATTTCCTCTGCCTCTGAGCCCACATCTGGGAGCCCCTCCTCCTGGTCTCCAATAGTGCTTTTGGCCCGGACCCCCCAGCATCCCTACAGTTCCACACACATAGGCAACCTCGGAAGCTTGTGTTTCTGGGTTCTCTTAGCTCTGCACTGAGATGCTCAACTGCTAACCTGACATGTTCTGCTCAGGAACAGCCAGGGGAGGGGCTGGGTCTGCAGCAGCCCGCTCCTCCCGACCCAGACGCCCAGCAGTGTGCACAGACAAGGGAAACAGCCGCTCTGCACCTTAACAAGACCACTTCTGGGCCCTGCAGGAGATCTGGAGAAGGAGAAACGAAGACTTCAAAATATCTTTGCCAGGGGGAAGGACACAGAGGAATGGAAAATGGCTCCTCATGTGCAGCAAGAGGACCCAGCTCCTGAGCTGGACCGGTTTGAAGAACGTGAGCCTGTGTGTGTGTGTGTGTGTGTGTGTGTGTGTGTGTGTGTGTGTGTGTGTGTGTGTGTGTGTGTGTGCGTGCGTGCGTGCGCGTGCAACATGACTTGATAGAGACCTCCCCCTACTTCCCCGTAGAGACCACACACTGCCTAGGCCCTGTGCGCTCCCACCGCCATGTGCTGACTGACAGCCCTTCCCCTCTGCAGTGGTGAAGGAAATCCAGGACAGGAAGGAATTCTTGGCTGCCATGGAGGCTCTAGGACAGGGCAAGCAATACCGAGGAATGATCCTGGCAGAAATCTCCCAGGTAGGAGAGCCCACGCAAGTGCGTAAGAGCTCCAGCCAGCACTGTGGCTAGCCTCTCAGGTGGCAAGCTCCCACCATGGTGGCCTGCCCTGACAGCAGCTCTTCCTGATGGCCCTTTGCAGAAACTACGGGAAATGGAGGACATTGACCGCAGTAGGAGCGAGAAACTTAGGAAGGCTCTTGCCACCACTTAATGGGGTGGGCCAGCCCAATGCGACCACCAGAGCAGCACGACCGTCAAGCAGTCCCCAGGTCTGCCCACCCACAGGGGCCATGCCAGACCATGATGTGGCACTGTCTTGGAGCACAAGACAAGACACTGCCCGGGAATGCAGAGGCCTCAGTGGTGCCACAGCGTTGAAGCCTTCTCTAGGGGAAAGCCCCAGGCCTACCACGTTGACACCAGGCTCACCACCTTGGACATTTGCCTAAGGGCGCCCTCTCTCTGGCTCTCCTGCCACAGCTAGCTGCCAGGTGCTCTGTGAACACCACTCTGCCCTTCCTACATCTCAGGGTCTACTTCTTTGCCTTCTTGTAGCCGGGGGCAAATGTTTGCCCACAATGATTAATTGGCCAATAAAACACATTTAACTTGGTCATCGCAAGTTCAGCCTTGTTTCCACAGGGATAAAGCCTATAATTGCTGTTTGCATATTTCCAGAGGAGCAGGGAAATAAGGTTCCTGATCACCCTGCAGTCAATGCTGACCCTCAAGACTGCGGTGTGAGAACTCAGGTTCACCAAGAAACTCCATCCTGGAGTGCCAAGAGTATGGGCAGAAGCGTAACAGAGGGGTCCACACTGAAAGGGCCCTGGCAGGGACCATGGCCTTGGGTCCAGTTCCTTTCAAGGCCTCTCAGGCCCCAACCTAAAGGAAAGCAGCCTGCTCCACACCTGGTGTGTCACCCACAACTGAGTACCTCACATCAGTGTCCTGCGCCAGTATTTTGTCATTGCCTGGTCTCTATAAAAGTATTTCCTGCACCTGCATTAGTCCCATAATTCCAATAGAACATATAATCTGTCCTCTTGCCCAAGAATAAACACAGCTACTATGCAACAGCCAGCAGGTAAGAGTCAGGTCAGTAGGGATACACCCACCACCTCACAGGCCTCGCACACTAGAAAACCCAGGACAAGTGTAGCCCACTGTGGCAAACTCAAATATGATGTCAGCATTTACAAATTATGCCTGTACAAAAACTGGATTCTGGGGTTCTTTTGAAAAGTGGGCAAGATCTGGCAAGCCTGGGCCCACATTCACAGAATACAGGTGACTTTCGTGAGGAAGGCTGTTCCCTTGAGACATGGACATGTTCCTTGACACTGAGACTGCCTCCTGGTGAATCCCAGTCTTGGGTTACAGCAGCTGGGTCACAGGGCCCCTCTGTAAGACCTCTGAGGCGGTGGCCCTGGCTCCATGTCTACAAGTGTATTTGGAAAGATTGCCTCTCCCCAAACAGGAAGGGAACCCTGCCCATGGTAGGTGGTGATGGCCAAGTCCCCAAATGCGTGGACAGCCCAGACCCTCCTGGGTGACCAGATGCCTATACATGAGGTGGAGACAGACAGGCAAGGGGGCACGGGTGTGGCTGCACCCAAGGCTACAGGGCACTGGCAGCTGAGGTACAGTGCCTTCCTTCCCAGGATGTAGACGAGGGGCACGGAAGACCCCAAGAGCAAGAACAGTGCATGGCATATTTCTTAGGGAAAAGAGGTCCCCATCACCCTTCTCCCAGAGCCGCCAGTGGTGCGTGGCCATCAGTCCTTGGAGGGAACAGACAACAGAAAAGACAGGCTGCACCAACCACAAAAAGGAATGGGCCCATCGCCTGGACATGGGGTGACGGAAAGCCTGTGTCAGAGGTGAGACTACACACTTTAGAGAACAAAGGTTAGCACCTACCCAAGCACGCGTTCCTAGGCTAGTCTGAGTCACAGCCACCAGGTCCTCGTGTGGTGGGTGAGACTTCCCATGGAGCAAGTGAGATGAGGAAGGCAGAGGAGGCAGCACATTCCCAACTGACACAACACAGCACTCACTGAGGGACCAGAGTCTGAGATTCATAGAGCTCTGAGTAAGGGGACACGACTTTCAAGGGCACCTGTGTTAGATAGGAAGGCAGGGACTAGAGTTCAGGGTTGAGAAGGAAGAAGCTGGGCAGCCAGCCTTGCTGCTGGTCTGCTGCAAGGTGCACAAATCCTAGGCCAGGGCCTGCCTTGGGCAGGACTGACAGTGAAGACTCCATCTCGTCTCTGCCTCTGCCAAGACCCTGCACCCCTGCTTGCCCCTGGGCCTGTCACAGCATCTGGGACATAGGGAAGAGGGAAGAAAACTTTAGCCCAGAGCAGCTGGAGAGCCCCCCCAAGGAGGGTGAAGCTCACCCAGGGACTCCCTCCCAAGGTCATCACCCCCTTAGCAGGTCTGAGCAGCAGAGTGCTGCTCTGGCCGTGAGGCTCCAGAAGAGGAGAGGAAGTCTGCTTCCCTCATGAGGCTCCAGAAGAGGAGAAGTCTGTTTCCCTCGTGAGGCTCCAGAAGAGGAGAAGTCTGCTTCCCTTGCTGTCAGCTCTTGTCCCCAGGGGCCTTGCTTTTGGTGTCACGCTTGTTGCCCAGCAGCTTCAGCATCTTCATGGTCTTGAGCCTGCCTTTCTTCTTACCCTCAGACTCAGCCTCTCTTTGGAACTCTGCAGCAAAGAGCAAAGGTACTCAGCCAGGGAGGGAGGGGAGCGCTGGGGGCGGGGGGGGGGGGGCAGTGGCCAGTGTCACTGAGCAGGTGTGTGACCATCAAGTCCATCCACACACCAAGTCATGTCACTATACCCAGTCTCCCTTTTCTCCCTGAGATCCACATATCTGTGAGAACAATCTGGAATCTCTGAGGCAGGGGTGCTCAACCTGGAGTGTATCAGATACTTACAATTCATAACAGTAGCAAAATTAGTTATGAAATAGCAACAAAATAATTTTGTGGTTGGGGGTCACCACAACATGAGGAACTGTATTAAGAGCTTGCAGCATTAGGTAGGTTGAGAACCACTGCAAGGTGTAATAACTTGGGTCACCTGTACTGAGCTACAACAGAAATACTGAGTGCCAGGACTAGGAACACCTCAGAAACCATCTGCCCAAACCTCAAACTTTCACAAGGAAGGCATGTGCCCCTGAAAAGAACCAGCACCAGCCATGCACTATAGGAGCCTAACCCCAGGCTGGTGCTCTACACAGTCAGCTCCATAACCCTGGGCCGGCACCGGAGAGAGGGACCATCACAACGGAAGTGTGGTGAGGGCTGAAGGAACTGGCTCAGCCACCCAGCTCATCTCCAAGCAGGGACCAGAAGCCAGTCTGGCTCCAGCCTCAGCCAAGATGTACCTTCAAGGCCACACAGCGAGCCACAGGTGGAACCAAGGTCAATCCCTGAGCCCCAGCTCTCGGGACAGCAACCTTAGCTACTCTGGACTCTCTGACCCTGAACAAGCTTGAGGTTCCCATGCCCCTAAGCCAACCTGCAGAGCTCTGGGCAAAAACCACTGCTGGTGGACCACAGTCCTTCTGTAGACACAAGGGAATGCCCTGGCTGCCCTTCCAGCCTGAGCCACAGCCACACGGCTATGACTGGCCTCCCTCATTTCACTTGGCTTTCCAGCAAAACAGAGCCTGGGACTCTGCATCACAACCACTCATCCCTGCGGGACGGGGCCTGCTCAACCTCCATTTCCAGGCCGCAAACAGGACGAGCCTCACCTTTCTTCCTGATCATAGCTTCCAACATCTTGTCCTCCTCCTCTTCCCTGGGGTGGAAAAGACAAGCTGAGTGCCCACAGCACCAGGTCATCTGTGAGTCCCTTCCAGCCTCCAGGCCCCACAGATCTGGGCAAGTGGGAGGGAAAGCTGGCAGTGAGGGCAGGGCTAACTGTCCCCCAGGCTCTGCCAGGAAGTGGCTCCACCCACGGGGTCCCAGGCATGGCACCTCTGCCGGTCTTCATCCAGACAGTTGACAATGGCATTGCGCTGGTCGACGAGGGTCATGAATTCCTGCAGCAGCACCTTCTCTCTGGCCCGATCCTCCTCTGTCCAGTCCTTTTCTGTCAAAGCAGAAAGTCAGAGTGAGTGATAGGGACTCTTGTCTTCACAATGGCAGACACACCACCTGAGTTCCTGGGAAGACTGCAGGCCATCCATACTGTGGGTTGAGAGGAGGGCCCAGAGTGCCACTCACAAGCTCTTACAGAGATGAAGATAATTCTAGTAAAAAAAAAAAAAAAAAACAAAAAAAAACCAAAGACACTTGGCTACCCACCAAAACCCTTCAAGAGATACCCTGTAGGGACAGAGATTCTCAAGAGCTTCCTGCCCACCAAACACTGTTCGAGGACACCATGCAGGGCCAATGTGCCCACCAAACACAAGGACACTGTGCAACACCAGCAATTCTTTTTTTTTTTTTTTTTGGTTTTTCGAGACAGGGTTTCTCTGTGGCTTTGGAGGCTGTCCTGGAACTAGCTCTTGTAGACCAGGCTGGCCTCGAACTCACAGAGATCCACCTGCCTCTGCCTCCCAAGTGCTGGGATTAAAGGCATGCGCCACCAATGCCCGGCCCCGCAACACCGGCAATTCTTAAGGGCTTCCTGCATACCAAACACACTCTTCAAGACCCCAGTCGGGGCCAGCACTCCTCAAAGGCTTTTGGCAACAGACACTTGGTAGCAGCTTTTTGTTTTGTTTTGTTTTTCAAGACAGGGTTTCTCTGAACATCTTAAAGCTACCAGGAACTGCTCCATTCCCCTATGACCTCACCGTGCCAAAACTGAGGGTTGGGAAGCCCCAGCCTAGTTCTGGGGACAGAGTATGGTTTCACAGTCACCACCCAAGTTCAAATCCTGTTCTGTCTTTCTTCTACCTAGACCCTGGTACGTTACGCTCCTGATCTACAGGTAGGGAACTGAAGCTTTGGAAAATGAAGCCTTTGGCCAGCAATGCCCAGAGAAGGTAAAGCCAAACGGAACCCAGGAAGCCTGACCTCCTACATGGTGACCTTTCTTGGTATCTATGGACCCAACTCCCTCAGGGTCACATAAATCAGCTTCATCTTCAAAAGCAGCATCAGGGAGAAGCTAAAGGGGACAGGATGACAGCAACAGCCTTGGGCTGATGGTTTCATACCTGCTCTAGTTACACTGGACTCCTAAGTGGTGGCCACACCCCCAGCTTTCTGCTGAGTTAGAAGTGACTCACAGTTGGCAAAAGGGGCCTAGGACATTTTGTGACTTGGGGTCACTCCAGCCTTCCAAGTTCCCCAGTCAATGGAGAGGCAAGATTCCAGTCAGAGAGATGGGAGACTGGTGTTGAGGGCAGACACAGGGCAAAGTCAGAGCTAGAGCTCCTACACAAATAAAGACACCCTGGCCTCAGGTCCATTTCTCTCTAAGCTAAGCTGTGAAATGGCAATGATGGCCCACCACCCAAGCCTGGTGATGCCACAACACAGGAAAGAGGTCAGAGCTCTGGATCCTTCCATAGCTCTGTGGTCTCTACTAGCAGCTATAGATCAGTGCATGCCACACAGACAGACAGACAGACAGACAGACAGACAGACAGACACACATACACACACACACACACACACACACACACACACACACACACACACACACACACAACAGGTCAGTGTGTGCCACAGCCACAGACAAGGAAGTCAGTCTCTCTTCTACTCCATGCCCCAACTCATCCCTTGGCCCAAATGAAGTTCCCAATATGTCTGGACTCCACAAATAGTGGGTTCTAAGAGTCAAACTTGGGTCCTCATACTTGCACAAGCACTTAGTGACTAAGCCACCTCCCCAGACCTTCAGAGTTTTGTTTTGTTTTTCAAGACAGGGTTTCTCTATGTATTCCTGGTTGTCTTGGAACTCACTTTGTAGATCAGGCTGGCCTCAAACTCACAGAGCTCCGCCTGTCTCTGCCTCCTGAGTTCTGACTTATTTTTAAGTCTCTAAGATGGCTCACCTGGCTTGTTGAGAAGACACCGAAGCTCAAACTCCACATCAGCCTGGCGCTGCTCCAGGTTCTGCTGCTTAACACTGAAGCGTGTGATGAAGAGGAATAAACACTTCTGCCAAGTGCCCACCACCCCACCCCACCCCCCACCCCCACCCCCGTGCTGTGTCATGGCAGAGGGTGAAAGCTCCCAGCCCTCCCTCCACAGACCCCGGCAGGGAGCAGGCAGGGCAGCCCGGACTCACACATAGATGAGCTCTGACTCTCGCCGCACTAGTAGGTGTTTCTCGTGGATGAGCTTGAACCAGTCCACCAGCATGTTGTCCTCGCTGCCCTCTGGAAGCCAGATCCCCACTGAGGCCAGAGCGGGCACCCCTCCCAGCTCAGCACCCCCAGGCTGAGGGGCTCCCACCAGCCCACAGCCCTCAGCTAGCTCCTTCTACAGTTCCCGCACCATTTGCTCCGCCACGCAGCTTCTCCTCCAGCAGAACGCCACGGTGTTCCAGGGCATCCAGCTGGCGCTCAATAGTGTCCATCTCACCGTAAATGTCCTCCTCAGGGATATGCTGGTCAGCCTGGACCTGCCCAACAATAAATACTCTGGTTACCTAAAGAGCAATGGCCCTCCCCTCCAATTCACAGGGTCTGCTGGCCACTGCAGGCTCTAGGAACCCAGGTCCTGACCCACAGGTAGAATAAGAAGCAGCATCAGTGTGGGGAAGGGCCAGAGAGGGGACAGCCATGACCAAGGGTCTGACAGACTCCCAATGAGAGGTCCAAGTTCCTACTCCAGAAGGAAGCCTCTCCCTCCGCTGTCACTCAGTTCTTTGTGGGACAGTGAGCTAGTGTAACAGGTTACAGAGCACACTGGGGACACCTTCTGAGAAGCACGAGTTTCTCCTAGCACTAGTGTTAGAAACAAACACCCCACCCACCGCCCCTGGCTGCACAGGATCCCTGATCTAATAAGTGCCACCTTCAAGAAGAGCCACCCATGGGTCCCAGATGCCTAAGGCTGCTGAGGGGAGGATGCTGGGTCCAGGCCAGCTGGGCCTCAGGGCCTCTCTGTGGCACCTTGCGTTTGATGAGTGGAAAGCCATGTCCGGGGGCAGGTGGTCTCACGGGCTTGGCTCCTTTGGTGGCCTTCCTTACGGTTGGAGATGCAGAGGGAGACGGCTTCCGGTTGAAAGGGTTCTCCTTGCAGGAAGACTGAAGGAAGAGACACCACAGATGGTTAAGTCTGAGAAGTCTGATCATACAGGAACATGGAAAGCAGGCCAGGACCCAAGGGACTGGAGATGAGGGCCCAGGAAATAACAGACTCTCCCAAGTTCCATCTCTCTACATTCATTCAGCAAACGGTTCCATTTCCAGAGTGCTTCCCAGTGTCAGTTCTCACAATACACAAACTTTCTGCTCCAGAGCATGGCTGAGAAAAAAGTCCTTGTATGAGCCCAGTGTGGGAGCACACCCCATTAATTCCAGCACCAGGAGGCAGACGCAGAGACAGATAGATCACTAAGTTTGAGGCCAGCCTGGTCTACACAGTGATTTACAGGACGGCCAGGGTTATAAAGTGGGAAAGGGGGTGGGTTAAAAGTTGAGCTTAAGGCTGGGCGTTGGTGGCGCATGCCTTTAATCCCAGCACTCAGAAGGCAGAGGCAGGTGGATCTCTGTGAGTTCGAGGCCAGCCTGGTCTACAGAGTGAGTTCCAGGTCAGCCTCCAAAAACAATACAGAGAAACCCTGTCTCGAAAAACCAAAAAAAAAAAAAAAGTTGAACTTAGAAGGTAGGGAGTTAAAATAAAATAATCAGAATGCCTTTGTTTTCCTTGGGCTCTAGCCCTGGTGTCAAATGCACATGGAAGCCTCGCTTACTGCACGCTCAGTGCAGAGGTTAAGCGCCCAGCCCCAGGTCACCCACTTCCTAGAGGCCCAGTAGCATCCACCACTCAGGGGCAGTGGTCAGGGAGTGAGGTCAAAGACCCCACCCTGGACTACACAGTCACAGTCTTCACAGCCAGCTTTCTCCAGTGGAGACTAGAAGGCTCAGAGAGGCACAGTGCCCCCACCTAGGGTCACCCAGCCAGGAAATGCAACAACAGGACTCCTACCCTCCCTCAAGCTAACAGATGAGAGGTGATTCTCCCCTACGTACCCTCTCCTTCCTACCACAGACACCCTCAGACAATGGCTCTCCATCTTTCTGTTTCTCTAGAGGCCTGCCTTCCCGACAGTGCCCTTCAGCTTAGGGGAAGCAGGCACCCAGCCTGAGGCCTTAGCTTCCTTGTACCTTGTGGGGAGAGGGGAATGCCCCTGCCCTCATCCAGTCAGAGCTGGAAATGGACTAGCATTTGGTTTCATGAGGTAACAGACACAGTCTCTACACTGAGGCAGAGACATTGTTGTCACCCACAACCCGTTTCCTGCTCCAATCCCAGAGGTGAGAGAGGGACTGGGTCCCTTAGGAAGACCCTGGGATTCTGCCCTCTCCCTCTGCACCAACACAGAGAGAGTTCAGTAAAGTCCATGGCCTCTGAGCCCTTTAGGCTTTTTTAACCACAGAATCTTTCTCTCTCTCTCTCTCTCTCTCTCTCTCTCTCTCTCTCTCTCTCTCTCTCTCTCTCTCTCTCTCTCTCTGTCTCTCTCTCTCTGTCTCTCTCTCCTTTTTTTGCTTTTGTTTTTTTCAAGACAGGGTTCCTCTGTTTTGCTTTGGAGTCTGTCCAGGCACTCACTCTGTAGACCAGGCTGGCCTTGAACTCAGAGATCTGCCTGCCTCTGCCTCCCAGGTGCTGGGATTAAAAGTGTGTGCCACCAACACCCGGCCACAGAACATTCTTAAATCAGTGTCCTGTACAATCCATGCTTTCATTACAAGTAGAGCAGGGCAGGCTGCAAACATGGCTCAGTGGTTAAGAGCACACACTGCTCTTCCAGAAGTCCAGGGTCAGGGTCCCAGCACCCACATCAGGTGACCACAGGACCCCTTGGGACTCCAACTCTAAGAGGGCTGACTCCCTGTGGTGGCTATCATAGGCAAGGCACTCACATGCACAGACCCATACATGGATACACATAATTTCAAATAAGAAAATAAGATACCCAGAGGTTCTTCAGAATACTCTGGAAACTTGGCACTAACCAGTAGCTTACTGTCAAAAGCAGGCCTTCTCAGCGTCACACAACAGGTCGCAGAGCTGGAAGTACCACACCTACCTGAGTAGCTGTGGTTCAGTGAGGGTCAGTCTAAGAAACAAGTGAACTTAGAACTACAAAACCTGTCAAAAGCCAAATGGCCAGATAGTGGTCAGCCAGACCCTCCTCATGCCCACTTTGCCTCTGAGAGAAGACAGAGCCTAGCAAGGGTCTAGGGTTGGTCTGGTCTGTCCTTCGCAAACATTCCCTCACAACCCATAAAAGAGGAGCCCAGGAGCTCAGGTGTGCGTCCTGAGCCCCTACGCCTGATGGGTCATTTCAGAACCTGCTGACCAGACAATGGACCGCTCAAGAACAGAGACTACTAGGCCTGTGTGACCCAGGAATCCAGGTGTCCCACACACACGGGCAATGATGGAAAACAGGATGAGCCCACACCCACCAGCTAGAAGGCTGCTTCTGACACACTGGGAGAACCCACCTTGATCTGCAGCTGTGGGGATGAGCTCCCCGGGGACGGGGCAGGGCTCCCGTCTCCAGCCAACAGGAAAGGGGTGGGGGTAGCACCACTGCAGGGCTTGGTGGTCTGGGTACTTGGGTTGCACCTGGTCCTGGTCTGTGGCGTTTGTTCGCCACTAGGCTGTCCCAGCTCCCCAGAAGGCGAAAGGGAAGAGTCGGCCAAGGGAGTGACAGAGTTCCCAGATGTGCCAAGGGTACCAGGCATGTGCACGGTAGGGTCTGAGGAGCTCTTGGGTACAGCAGGCGGTTCCAAGGGCTCTGCATTGGCAGTGTGGCTGGAGCTCTCAGAGGACAGGCTCTCCACACTAAGGGCTGGCGATGGTGTGGCTGAAGGAGGCTCCGAGTGTGACAGGCGGGAAGCATGGAGAACTGTTGCAACAGAACAGCAGAAACATTGAAGCGGTGGACAGGACTTCTGACCTCCCCCATCACACCCTGCTCCCAGAGCTGGAGGTAGCCTGGATACCAAGCTTTTCCCCATCTGGATGGGCAAGAGGCCAGAAAACACCAACCCCATGCCAGGACCCACATCACAAAGGCACTCAGCCATCAGACCCCATCTTGCACCTGTGATGCTCTAGGGTGCCACCTTGTGGCACATTTATGGCCCTAACTTCTTACCCAGAGAGACAGCTGCCTTGCACTCCCCCCTCCCAAGTGCCCCATGGTCCTCTCACACCCAAGCCCACTCAAAGGAAACCTCTGGGGCAGATGGGGATTCTAGCACAGGGCAGGCAGGGAGATGAGGCTGGCCTCGGTCTCTGGCAACAGCAGAGGATGGGGGCGGCACCTGCTGCAGCCAGTGCTGGCCCGGGCACTGCCAGGCACGGCTTTCTCCTTCTGCAGATGCCATGGACTGTGCCACCACAGTCGCACTTCCTGGATGAAGTCAGATTCAGCAAAGGGTTCTCCCTAGCTAGGTCATCTTTAGACATAGCTCGGGCCACCTTCAGAGCTCATGCCCCCTTTACCCCAAGCCCATCCACCAAGGGGACCCAGGGCACAGGCCACCAGAGTGTTGGCCTCTAACTGTTTCTGGCGGGTGCTTGGTCCCACAGAGCTTTCAGCCACACCCCTAGGAGTGGGAAGGGGACCAAGGGTTTAAGACAAATCTGAGGTCAAACCAAAACCTGGGGAAAGGGACCTGGAGCCGACCCCCATCTCACGTGAGGAGACAAAAGCCAGATGAGGGAAGGACTAAGTCCTACAAAGCCAAGCTGCTCGGTGGCTGGAGATGAGACACGGGGAGGCAGGGTTCAGTGAAGCCCTGCCTCGGGCCTTTCAGAAGCCCAAGGGAGGGCTGTGTCAAGCCCCTCCCTGACTGCCACACTGAATTAGCATAACAGGAAACTTTAAAAGCAGGGATTCAAAGCCTGCCTCTGCTGCTTAGGCACTGTGCGTCTCTTATGACATGGCAATAATGCTGCCCTCTCCCAGCCTGCTCGAGGATGAATGGGAGATCACGCACCCACAGTGTACAAAACTACGAAGTCCCCCGCACCTCAGACGCAGCACTCACCAAGTGGGGAGGCACTGGGTGCTCTCGGGGCAGGGCGCTTCTTTGTCTTGGGGCTGCTGGTGGGGGTGATGCCGTACCAGGGGTGCAAGGCCTTGGGTGTAGACTCTGGTGGGGCTGGAGCAGGGCCTGGTACTGCTGGGGCTGACTCTTCCTCCTCCTCAAAGGGGTTGTAGGGCTTGGGCTCTGGCTCGGCTACTGGGCTCTTCTGGGTCCTTTCTTCCAGGCCTCCGTTCTCCACCTGTCTGCTTGGTGGCCCAGGACTGCTGCTGGGGGGCAGTGGGGCTGGCTTCTTCTTTGGCTCTGTCTGCACCAGTGTGATCCATGGGGGGTCTTTCCTTGGTGCTGGCATCCTACAGGGAGGCCAAGGCAAGGGGTCAGCCTTCTGCCGGCTAGGAAGTTTCAGTCTGTCCCAGAGGAGGGAGACACTGCCCCCTGTGCTCTCCCAAGCCTAGCCCCAAGGTCAGGCCAAGCACATATGGTTGACGGTGGTCACATCCCAATAGGGCACCTTGAAGCCCAGAGAAGACAAGCCTTCAATCACACAGCTGCTGTCAATGCAGCTCCCTAAAAGGGGCTGTATGACATTTGATGACATCACCCACCTCTCTATGCCTCAGGCTCATTTGCTCTATGGAGGCTTAACCTAACATTCCGTTTCACAGGGTCCAGTGAGTCCTAAATCCTGCCCAAGTGTGGTCACACACCAGGAGCTGCACAAATGTTCACTAGTAGGACACTGTGGTCCCTTACCCCTCACAGGGCGACCATCCTGATGAGGACAGCTCTCAAAGAAGAGCTAGAAGCATGTCCTCCCTGGAGTCGGGGAGGAGACAGCCGGGCACAGCAGCTCTGCTTGTCCAGGCCTTTCTGTGTACTCTGTGAACAAGGACTAGACTCCTGTGTCACCCAGGAAGTACAGGCTTAGGGAAGCAAAATGACTCTAGCGATGGCTATCCCCACTTGGGGCACAGGTCAGACAAACCGGGGACACGGTTTTCCTTCCTCACCGAGAAAGGAACCTCCCTGTGGGCCCAGGAAATCCTATCCCCACCTGGGCCCTAGAAACCCCCCCACCACTGACACCTTTCAGGGCCAGCATACCTCTCTGACAGCTTGGGTGTCCCTCTTGGCCTGGGAATAGGAGGTCCCTGCAGCCTTCCTAGACGTGAAAAGACAATGAGCCAGGCCTTCAAGGGCTGCAGAGGGGCACCAAGAGCCAGCCAGGGTGCTGGCTTTGCAAGGAGTGCCCTTGTGCCCTACCCAGCAGGGCACAGACCAGGGTGACCACAGCCCCTCCCTAGCTAGCCCTCAGGGAGATTAGATAAGACGGAAGGTGAATGGGAGGCTGCAAGGCTTCTGACAGGCCCAACTGCACGTTAGCTGACAAGTCCCCACCCAGAACCCCTCAGTTACTTGCTCTACACCAGGGTAGCTGCCCAGTGCCACCTCCCTGAACCCCACAGCCTCCCTCGGCTCCCTTCCATCCACTCCAGCAGCGTGTCGATCAAATTGTTTAGGGATGCCTGTGCCTGTCACTGTTTCCTCCAAACATTTTCTGTGTCCCTTTTACTCAAACCTAAGCCAGACTCCAGAAATGCTGGGCAGATTCAACTACACAGAATGTTCTGGTACAAGTCCGGGAGGCTCTCTTCCTCCAGCCTTCATTGCCTTTCCTGACTGAATGATAAGAGATGCTCAGCATATCTCAGGTTCTCATGAGCACACAGCATGTATTCATCCAAGAATACAGACAGCAGGCCAGGAGTCTCCGCTGCAGTTCAGGTGAGCTCAGGAGGCCTAACCCCGCTGACCTCCCCAGGCCCCTCAGCTCTCTCCAGACAGATGACAGATAAGCATGATGGGAATGGGAAGTTACTTGGTGCATACCTGGGAATGACCCAGGACACATATGACTGATATCAACATGCACAGTCTCAGGACACATATATGTACATTTGCTACACTCCAAACCACAAGACAGAAACAAAACATACACCTGGAACACAGGTGGGACTGTGGTTTTGAGCTGTACCAGTTTGAAGAATTACATGGCATGACAAGGCATAAGGTGACCGGCACACACACACATGACCCCATCACACACACATACAAGTGCCAGCTCAGAAAGCAGTTCACAGGGCTGGAGACATGCCTCAGCAGTTAAGAGCACTTGTTCTTCCAAGGGGACACGAGTTCAGTTCCCAACACCCAAGTCAGGTGACTCACAACAACCTGTAAGTCCAGCTCTTCTGGACTCTGGACTTTGTGGACACCGACAGTCACATGCACAGACACAAACACATACAACTTAAGGCAGGAAGGGAGGGAGGGAGGGAGGGAGGGAGGGAGGGAGGGAGGGAGGGAGGGAGGGAGGGAGGGAGGGAGGAAGCTGGTTGATACTATTCCTGGAACACAAGGCTATTTACATGCCCACAGGTGGGGACACATTCAGCCAGCACGCCATGTCCAACTGAACCCTCACTCACCATTCACAAGGCCACTGCTGACACCCTGATCCACCAAGCCATCCTGCTGCAGGCTAGACCGTGGCCGTGGTGTTGGGGGCGTCAAGGCTGAGTTCTCAGAAGCCTTCCTGGGGGCAGGTGTGGGCCGGCCAACAGGGGGACTGGCCACCTCCTGGGGCTTGCTGGGAAGAGGTGGCTTGTTCAGGATCTGGGGCTGTACCTCGGAGCTGGCCTGGAGGCCATCTGCCTCGGCCACCCCAGCCACACTTGGGCTAGGGTCACTGTCCTCTCCATCCTTGGCTGCTTCTGCTACCTGCTGCTGTCTTCGCTGTGAGAGGGGCCTAGTGCCTGCCCCGCCTCCTGGACCGAGCCTCGCGCAGCGTTCTGCACACACAAAGGTGCCTTCCTCCAGCCCACTGCTGTAAGAGCCAGGGAGAAGTGTGCTGGAGCAGTACCGACATCTGCAGGGACAGAGCAGGCGGGGAAAGGCCTCCATCAGAAACCAAAGCTATTCCCTCACCCCCTCCCTCAGCGGCCAGGCCCACCCGGGACTTTCCAGAAGGAAAAGAGCATGGCGACTGCCAGAATCAGGGGAACAGTAAGCCAAGTCAAATTGGAAACAGGAATTGTGAAATGTGCTTGTGCTGCAAGGGGAAGAGGCCAAAGTGCCCCAGGGTTTGCCCCAGGGGAAGATTGTCAGTAGTCAGTGACTCAGGAAATCATTTTGGCTCCCTGCCTACCAGGTTTGTTTTGGTTAAGTTTTCCTTTCACTTTGTTTTTCAGGGCTGGGAACCAAAGCCAGTTTAAAAAAACAAAAACAAAAACAAAACCACTAAACACTGTGCACTACCCCTTGGGCCACAGCTCACTGTGAGCCAGCCTTGTGAATACTGGATAAGCACCCCACCACTGCGAGAGACACACACACACACACACACACACACACACACACACACACACGTACACGCGCATGCAGCCTCAGCTCAGCATGCTTTTAATGAAATAGGGTAAAATACAATACTTTATCAGAGTGACTCCGGGATGATTAACACAGCTGCAGGAAGCTCTTATACGGGCTGTGCATCTACTGACATGCTTCATACCATGTATGCACATCCAGTAATAGCAAATGTGTGTTGGGGGGGGATTTACTTTTCTTTTGTTGTTTTTTGTTTTTGTTTTTTCAAGACACATTTTCTCCATGTAACTGTCCTGGCTGTCCTGGACTCGTTGGTCTGAAACACAGAGATCTGCCTGTCTCTGCCTCTCAAGTGCTGGGAATCCTGGCTTCCTTAGGCTGGGAATATAGCTCTGTGGTAGTGTTTGCCTAGCAGGCATAAGACTGGTTTAGTCCCAGCACAAGGCCAAACAACTTTGGATCCCCAGGAAGTCACACTTAAATATAAGAAAATTCTTTGTGGCCGGGCGTTGGTGGCGCACGCCTTTAATCCCAGCACTCGGGAGGCAGAGGCAGGCGGATCTCTGTGAGTTCCAGACCAGCCTGATCTACCGAGCAAGTTCCAAGACAGACTCCAAATCAATACAGAGAAACCCTGTCTTGAAAAAAAACAATGAGAACAGGAGGGAAATCCTGTGACTGAGCAGGTCTTTTTTTCCTAAGCCATAGTTTGTTCCTCTATAAAGCGAGGATAAGCTGAATGCTTGGTATAAACAGCCCACAGAGTGTGAACAGCCCACTGGGTGTGAACAGCCCACTGGGTGTGAACAGCCCACTGGGTGTGAACAGCCCAGTGGGTGTGAACAGCCCAGTGGGTGTGAACAGTCCAGTGGGTGTGAATGGTGAAGTTGGTGTGGACAGTCCGGTGAGTGTGAACAGTCCAGTGAGTGTGAACAGTCCAGTGAGTGTGAACAGTCCGGTGAGTGTGAACAGTCCGGTGGGTGTGAACAGTCCGGTGGCTGTGAACAGTCCGGTGGCTGTGAACAGCCCAGTGGGTGTGAACAGCCCAGTGAGTGTGAACAGCCCAGTGGGTATGAGGCACAGTCTGTATGAATTGCACAGTGGGTGTGAACAGTGTGCTGACCCCAGGGTGCTCCCGCCCAGGTGCTGGGAGATATGTTCTGCCCTATAACACTCACCGGAAGCAGTGCCGGTGGTAGAGCCTGCCCTCAGCCAAGTACCGCTGCACCAGGTGCACCCGCTGCCCACAGGCTGCGCACACACTGCTCGGGGGCTGCTGTCTACCCTGCTCCGCCAGCCTGTCTGAGGAGAGCTCGTCATCCTGCAGGAAATGGGGTAGAGTTACCAGCCACGCTGCTCCTGGGTAGCTGCCTTTCCCTCCCCCATCACAGCCGTGTCCCTTGAATGTACACCAAGCTCCGTGGTGCTAACATATGAAGATCAGAGAACAGGAGGCTGTCGCCTTCTCCCACACGAGAAAGCACGAGCCCAGAGAAGGGTGACTTTCTCAACATCCCAAGCCAGTATGGAAACAGTGAAGCCCAGACTTCCAACTTCCAAAGAAGGCTCCTAACACTGGGACAGGAAACTTTGGGTTGTAAAGTTGCTCTAGCCGACCCTCCTTTCCTCTGGAGGCCTTGATCTCCATTAGCTAGCCCAGGAGTGTCAGCCTACTCAGGCAGTCTGGGCCTACTTCTCTCTAAATCTCATGAAAAGCTTGTGTCCCTTGGAGAGGGGACTAACAAGGTGGCCCCCACTTCTCTACTGAGTGACTTTGGACAAAGTCATTGTTTCCTGTCTGGACAACAAAGGCCTGAGAGATGCCACTGTGGAGGGGCCTCAGTGATGTCACACTGAGTGGTTCAAAGCTCAGACTCCACAGAGTCAAAGGGAATATTCCCATCATTATGCATGTAGCTCCTGACGGTCCCGTGATGGAAAGGACAGCGTGAGGTCTGTCCACTCGGCCACAGCAATGACCGTGACTCACTCAGAGTCTGGAGAAAACATCCAGGCTCCCTCCTACAAAATGGGGCTGTTGGGCTGGCACCCTGGCCCTGGGAACCCAGTAGGGCAACAGCAGAGAATACCCTCCTAATATGGCCACGGCCTGCTGCCTCCCACAACAGTCACCATGACGACAGCTGTGCCCTTCACCTACTCTTCCACCCAAAAAGTCTGCCTACCTGAGCCTCCTCTCCTGGTTGCACAGCAGGTGATGCAGATGTGGGGGAGGGGGTTGCTGGGTCCTTTGCTGAGGTGGGTGGTGAGACAGCAGCTACAAGACAGGAAAGACCCTGAGGTGGGTACAGAACCTGGAGCTTAGGGAGATACCAACCCACCCAAAGCTCTACAGCCACCAGCTCCGGGCAGAACACCGGGCCGCAACTGTAATCTATGTAACGCAGAGCAGGAAACACTTCCATTTTCAAGTCATGTGCCAGGGGCAAGCCACTCACTCAGTGGCTGAGTCTCCCTCAAATGGAGCCAATGATTCCCACCATGCAGGTCTACCACAAGCATAGGTACAGTAGGCTGGTCACAACTTCCTTCCCACTCAGACAGGGATGAAGCCTCATCTGAAGGCTCAGGGAGGTGGCCTGCTCACTGAGGTCACCCGCCTGTCTCCAAGTGAGCAGATGTGGCCCGGAGTCAGAGGAAACCCCACACACATACCAGGGCATCCCTCAGACCATCTCCCTCCTCCATCAGCTAGTGTCAAGTTGAGAGCCTCCTCTGCACCCAAGCAGTAAAACAAAGCCCAACCTCTAACGCCTTTAGAACTCTGTGTGGTAACTTAACAAGTCAGGTATCCAGGCAGCTCATCCATAGAGCGCTTGAGTAGCGTGATCAAGGCTGAGTTCAACCCCAGGACCAAAATCAAACAAGCAAAGTGTGCACGTGTGTGCATGTGTGGTGCACACCTGTCATCCCAGTACCCGGGATGCTGAGGAATGTGAACTCTGAGCTAGCCTGGGCTACAAGCAAGACCCCATCTCAAAATATAATTAATTAGTTAATTAATTAAAGAGCCAGTGAGATGATGAAGCAGATAAAGGCTCTTGCCGCCAAGTCTGAAGATTTGAGTTCAATCTCCTGAATCCACATGGTAGACGGAACGAACTGACTCCCACAATTGTCCCCTGCCCTGCACACATGTGCCATGACAAATTAAATAAATGTCAATTTTTTGGGGGGTCAGAAGGGGGCTCAAGACAGGGTTTCTCTGTGTAGCTCTGGTTATCCTGGAACTAGTTCTGTAGACCAGGCTGGCCTCAAACTCACAGAGATCCGCCTGCCTCTACCCCCCAAGTGTTGGTATTAAAGGTATGCACCACCATTGCCTGGCTTAAAAAATGGCTCTGACAGAGGACCTGGCTGGAGTTTTTGGCATCCACATGGCATCTCACAAACACCTGTAACTGCAGTTCCAGGAGACCCAATGTCCTTCTGGTCTCCTGCAAGCTATTGCACACACATGCTGCACAGAGCTATGCTCAGGCACACACATACTCATACATACAAAACAAGTACCTATACTAAGAATGGTAATACGCTGGGCTCCTGAGAGATGTTCTGTTTAATGCTTTTTTCCCTTCCTCCAGCATCATACAACACAGTCTGAGACTTCCTCTTTCCCCAGCAGCCAACACCGTGCCTGGCACACAGCAAGGGCTCTAAAAGTATTTGCTAAAGGCACAAGACGTTCCAGGTGCTGGGACATCAGCATCGCAGCTGTGCAGGCAGAGATGGCCTGCAGGGAGAGGAGGAAGATGTGGGGGCTGGACAGGGCTCAGTGCAAGGTGCCTGTTTAGCTAGCGTGTGGGAAGCCCTGGGTGTATTCTGTGTTCCCCAGAAGAAAGGGGCAGGGCCTACTGTACAGATGAGAGGCCGGTGCCCCCCCCATTTTCCACTTGCCCAGAAAGTACAATACAGGACCATCTGGAGGAGGGAACACAGGATTGGAACACATCAGAGCGGTGGCAGATGGGATAAAAATGGTTTGTGTATGGAGGACAACTGACAAAAAGATACAAATTTATCAATGGAACCCCACAGGACACCCCCACCTTGCAGGCAGGTCTAGGAAGTGACTTCCAGATCGGGGTTAAGAGAGATGACTGGCCAGAGACTGGGAACTAAAGTGAGCGTGACAGCACATCTTTAGCTCTGCTTAGAAGGCGAGGAAGAAGCATCCTGAGTTTCAGGCTAGCGTGAACTACATGAAGACTGTCTGAAAGGGAGGAGGGAGAGCAGACTAGAGCAGTGCAGCTTGGGAAATAGACAAAATTGTGATCGGGATTACACGGTCCACTCATGGATCCTGACTATTATGCAAGGTACACTTGATCAACAGTATAGATACACACACTCTTTTACAGCAGGCTAGCTAGAAAACACCCTTAGGCTGAATTTCATCTTTTATAAATCAACAACACACTGCAGATGTTAGTCATTTCCCAGACTTCAAAAGTTACAGTCGTGAAACTGTACCACCCGAGTGGGGAACATGTGAGTCCTAACCTGGAGAGGGCAAACATGCTCAGCAATGCCCCTGTAACTCCTCATAACAGCCCTGCGGGGTGGGCACTGTGCACAACCCCATCGCAAAGAGGAGACGGAGGCTGCAGGTGAAGTCTGAAACCACGTTCTTATCTCTACCGAAGCTAGACTCCTTCCCACCAGTGACTCTGGGGTTTTCCAATGCAGTTTCCTTGGCAAGTGCAGATACCAAAGTTCCAGCGGGCTCAAGCCAGCTGCGTGCGTCCTCCATAACACTGTTTACCCAGTTTAAAACCCTAAGGTTTGCTTTTGTGTTCTGACTGTGCGTGTATGTGTATGTCGATGTCCACATGAGTGCAACCCCTATAAAGGTCGGATCCCCCGGAGCTGGCTATAGGCAGCTGTAAGCTGGGAGCAGAACTCCCTTCTTTTTTTTTTTTTTTTTTTTTTTTTTTGGCTTTTCGAGACAGGGTTCCTCTGCGTAACAGCCCTGGCTGTCCTGGAACTCGATTTGTAGACCAGGCTGGCCTCAAACTCACTGAGATCCTCCTGCCTCTGCCTCCCAAGTGCTGGGATTAAAGGTGAGTGCCACCACCACTTGGCTCTTTCTTTCTTTCTTTCTTTTTTAATTAATTTATCTTCTCATTTAATTTATGTGTATGGATGTTTTGCCTGCATGTATGTATGTACAGTACATGCATGCATGGTGCTCCCACAATCTGGAAGAAGGTGTCAAGATCTCTTGAGACCCACTGGAGTTACAGACAGTTGTGAGCTGCTATGTGGGTGCTGGGAATTGAACCCAGGTCCTCTGAAGAGCAGCCAGTGCTCTTTTTTTTTTTTTTTTTTTTTTTTTTGAGACAAGGTCTCACATTGCAGCCCTCCCTGGCTGGCCTAGGAATCCCTTTGTAGACCAGGCTGGCCTTAAACTCACAGAAATCAGCCTGCCTCTGCCTCCTATGAGCTGGTATGCAAGGCATGTACAACCATACCCAGACTTTTTTTTTTCCCCTAGAGAGGGTTTCTCTGTGGCTTTGAAGGCTGTCCTGGAATTAGCTCTTGTAGACCAGGCTGGTCTCAAACTCAGAGATTCGACTGCCTCTGCCTCCTGAATGCTGGGATTAAAGGTGTGTGCCACCACCGCCTGGTTCAGACCCAGCTTTTTAAAAAAACAACTTTTTTTTTTTTTTTTTTTGGTTTTTCGAGACAGGGTTTCTCTGTGGCTTTGGAGGCTGTCCTGGAACTCCCTTGGTAGTCCAGGCTGGTCTCGAACTCACAGAGATCCACCTGCCTCTGCCTCCCGAGTGCTGGGATTAAAGGCGTGCGCCACCAACGCCCGGCAAAAAACAACTTTTTATTATTATTTATTTATGTCTGCTCATGCCTGATGCTTGCAGAGGCCAGGAAAGCATCTGATGCCCTGGAACTAGAATTACAAACAGTTGTGAGCCTCTATGAACATGTGGGGGTGTGTTGCTGGGTCCTCTGAAAGAGCAGAGAGAGCTCTTACCCACTGAGCCATCTCTCCAGCCCCACTCCACCCCATCTGAAGAGACAGACTGGCTTCTCCTCACACAGAAGACACAGAAAACATGACCCACGTGGGACTTTTTGGAGCCTAGTGGCAGCAACTGCCCAGTCAGTCAGGACTCAGGACCCTGGATCTCAGCCCCACTGCTGAGCTCTTGTATCGTGTTCTCCAGCTCCTTGCTTCCCTCTTTGGATTCACTTCCCCTACACAGAAAGGAGCTGTCTGTCCCCAAGCGGCCCTGGGACACTCAGCAACCTGACTGGAACAGAGGGGACACCTGTGCCTCCCTGCAGCATATCCCCTTCTCTATTCTGACGCCAGGAGGCGGGCACTGCAAAGAAGCTGTGCAGCAGCCCAGAAGAGAGGAGCAGCACTGCAGAAAGAAAAAGCCCCAAGTGTCGGGACAGGAAGTGTCAGACAGGAAATGCGGTGAGTGAGGGGTGAACTCCTGGATGAGTTCACCTGAGCTTATTGTCTGTCTCCCCCCACCACACACACACACACACACACACACACACACACACACACACACACACGGCAAAGCAGACAGGGTCTAATTCTGTGGCACTAGCTGGCTTCAAACTTGAGGTGATCCTTCTGCCTCAGCCTCCCAAGTATGGAGATTTCACCCAAGCCAGTGCTGTTTAGTGTAATAAATATATGAACCAGCAAATTCACAGTCAGTGAATGAATGACAGACTATTTCCTGACTATTTCTTCCTTTTTTTTTTTTTCTTGGAGACAGGGTTTCTTTGTATAGCCCTGGCTGTCTTTGAACTCACTCTGTAGACCAGGTTGACCTCCAACTCAGAGATCCACATGCCTCTGCCTCCGATTAGAGGCATATGCCACCACCACCCTGCCATCTGGCTTTTTTTTTTTTTAAATGTATAAGTGCTCTGTCTGCAGTTCTGGGATGCCTGAGAAGAGGGCACCAGATCCCATTATGGATGGTTCTGAGTCACCATGTGGGTGCTGGGAATTGAACTCAGGTCCTCTGGGAGAGCAGCCAGTGCTCTTAACTGCAGAGCCATCTCTCCAGCCCCCCTGGCTATTTCTTAACCACCAGGGCAGCCTCCCTGAAGGGCTGGGTCCCCTCGTACCTTGACCAGAACTGGTGAAGTGGTTGTAGTACTGGGACACGTAGGTCATGATGCTAAGACAGTCGGGGACACTCATGGAGACCATGTCATTGGGGTCCAGGAGAGCAGGGATCCCCAGCTCTTTTTCCGCCACTTCAAACGCCTGGGGTGGAGGCAGGTGCGAAAGTGGAGACAGGAGCAGCCGCAGTGAAGAGAGACGGCAGAGTTAGTGAGTACTCAGAGTGGAACCGGCCCATTGTAAGGGGATGGGTGACTACGGTGCCAGCCCACAGGGTGGTGTGAAGAGGAGAGAGGGGAGGAGAACCTCTGTGACCCCTGCCCTCTCCCGCCACAGCCCTCTGCGCTCCCACCTGTCTGAGGACTCACCAAACGGTTATTCTCAAAGACATTTTCCTTGGAGAGCGACTGGAAGTCTCTGCAAGAGACAGGAGGACTGGTCAAGAGAGGTGACGGGCAGTCAGCCAGGAAGGAGGGGGAAGAGGTGACCTTCTCCTGGCAGGACTAGCCTCGGTTCTATAAGGTTTGGGAGGGCGCTTACGGGTTCCTAAGGAGGAAACTGAGGCTGCAAGCCCCGATAGAGCTGTCACTGTCAACTGGAAGCAGAGAGTGAGCCTATGGCCCCTGAAGGCACCCAAGCAAGGCCTGAGAAGTCTGTGAGAAGGGGTGGGCTCAAGGCAAGCTCCCAGTCTTGGGCTGGATTCCCAACTCTTCCCCAGAAGGCCTTCTCCTCAGGCAGTGGCAAAAAGGGCCAACCAAGCATGTGGACTTGCATCGCGGGCACCCGTGCAGGGGAGCCCACTCTTCCCAGCCGCTCACCTGACAGGTGCTCACCCATGCAGGGGAGCCCACTCTTCCCAGAAGCTCACCTGACAGGTGCTCACCCATGCAGGGGAGCCCACTCTTCCCAGCAGCTCACCTGACAGGTGCTCACCCTGTGCTACCGAAGACAACGCTGAGATTCAAGAGGGAAGCTAGTCAGCCCCGGGAATCTATACTTTTGGAACTTCCACCGAATGTCACAAACACACAAGCCACACCAAGAATGGAATCCAAAAGCCCATCTAACTCCAGGAGGAATGTTTCCTTGGTTTTTTGTTTTGTTAAACTTGTATTATTTATTTGTGTGTAGTGTGCATACATATTTTCTTGTTTATTTATTTATTTATTTATTTATTTTTGGTTTTTTGAGACAAGGTTTCTCTGTGGCTTTGGAGGCTGTCCTGGAACTCAGTCTGTAGACCAGGCTGGCCTCGAACTCACAGAGATCCGCCTGCCTCTGCCTCCCGAGTGCTGGGATTAAAGGCGTGCGCCACCAACGCCCTGCCTACATGTGTTTCTTAAAGGGCCCAAAAAAGAACAATTAGAGCCAGAGTAGAACTGAACCTAACCCAGAGCTGCTAGGACTAAACAGATGGCCTGTCCCATCAGTCAGTCCTGGGGACAGCTTCCTTAGAGGGGACTTCTTAGTTCCCTAGTAAAGGGCTTCTAGGCTTCCGAAGTGAGGCAGGTGAGTGATGGCAGCACTTATCTACCCACAGGGCACTGGTGTGGGAGCAGGCTTCATCCATCTGTGGAGACTAGCAGGCTGGAGCATGAGCAGGTAGGGCACTGTGGGCCTGCTCTTTCAGGAAGGCTGTGTGACTTGGGCGGGACAAGAACCCCACCTGCCTCTACTGCCTGAAACCGCAGGAGAACCCCAGGCCTTGCTCCCAGGAATGAGGGCCAGCAGGGTCTGAGAGTGACAGAAGCCTCCTAGATACCGCAAAGTGTAGCAAAGTTTACAAGCTTCGCCACTGCCTAACAATGACCTTCTTCAGCCAGCTACTTAGTCTCCTGTACCTCAGTTTCCTGGTCTGTGACACTAAACACAATGAATGTCCAACATGGGGATTCTAAAACCAACGACACAAGGGCAGCTTGTCTGGACAGTCTGGTTTCCTCAGCAGTGTTCTTTTTTTTTTTTTAAGATTTATTTATTTATCACATATACAGTATTCTGCCTACATGCCAGAAGAGGGCACCAGGTTGAATTGTAGATGGCTGTGAGCCACCATGTGGTTGCTGGGAATTGAACTCAGGACCCCTGGAAGAGCAGTCAGCGCTCTAAACCTCTGAGCCAGCTCTCCAGCCCCCTCAGCAGTGTTCTTAGAATGTGGGGTCATAGTTGGTCCCCATTGCTTCCCTAGGCCCCTACACAGGTTCCTGGTGATTATGAAGTGTTCTTGTACATATTTGCTGAAATAATACACGATAAGAACTATAAAACTGTAGTACTGGGACTGGGGAGGTGGCTCCTTGTGATGCACTTGCCACAGCAGCATGAGGACCTGAGTTCAATCCCCAGCACCGATATAAGCAGCAGGTGTGGTGGTGCACACGTGTGACCCCAGCACTGAAAGTGGTCTATCATCTGACCTCTAGTCTACACACACACCATATAAATATACAGACATCATTAAACACACACAATACTAGCTTTTCCCCCCAACTTTTCCCCCTCTGTCCCTAAATACCATCTGGGTTTGGGTAACGCAGATCTCTTTTCTGAGAATTTTCAAAGGCCGAGAAAGTTCCATTTGGTTCTAGAGGAAATGAAAGCAAAGAAATGAATGCCACATGGGTCCTGGTCTCAAGGGAATTCAGAAAAGGCTGGAGGGAGAAGGGCATGCATGGTCCAGTTCCTCCCCAACACAGCAGGAACCCCCTCACCCCCCCACACACACAGAGGCCTGGGGGCAGCACTCACCCCACACACACAGAGGCCTGGGGGCAGCACTCATCCCCCCCCACACACACACAGAGGCCTGGGGGCAGCACGGGGCAGGCAGGGCCTGCAGCCTCAGAGGCTAGACCCCTCACCCTACCTATACTCATGTACACATCTGCCCCTAAGTGCCGAGGGTGTAACTCTCTGCTTGTGTGCTTGCTCAGCGCGCATACAGGCTTGGATTCAACCCCAGCAAATAAATAAATGGACAGATAGACCTCCACCGTTCTCCGTGCTTTATGAGGAACCTGGCCTCAGTTTCTCTCCCATGCAGGCAGCATGGTCCAGACCCAGCCTCCCTAGCAATGAACAACTGGATTGAGTCCCAACCTCTGCTTAGGAGGAAACACCCTTCACACCTGCTTCCTGAACATGAGTGACCACCTCAGGCAGGACTTTGGGGGCTTCTCTTGACTTTTGCCGTTTCCCCAGGACGTCTCCCCTGGAGGCCTCCATCAGGCACTACTGTAGAGTTGCCTTGAGCTCCACTTGTGTGACAGTAGGTAGGTGGTTTTGGTTTTGGCTTTGAGATTCAAGACAGCATTTCTCTGTGTTGCCTTGGCTGTCTTAGAACTGGCTCTGTAGACCAGGCTGGCCTCGAACTCTCAGAGATCCACCTGCCAGTATGTAGGCTTTTGCCTTGTTGGCTGTGATCTCTGACAGGATGAGGGAGCAGCGACTATACATCCGTTGACCAGATGAAGGAGTTAAGCAGTCATTCCCACCAACCCCCACCACCACCTAATCGTACCTCTTCTAGGGGTTAGTGTTAACTGCATGCTTATTATCTTATTTAAAATCCTCAAGTCCTCACCATAAGGCTGTGAGGTAGGTCTTGTTATCAACCCCACCTTCCAGATGCCCAGAGAAGCAATAACCAATGATTTTCCCCAGGGCTTAACATTAGCACCAGGCAGCCAGCACTTGCGGGGGAGGGGGGGCACCTAGCATCCAGACATTAAATCCTCCCTTGAGACTCATCCCATCTCCTGCCTCAGGGCTAGTCCCCAGCAAAAATACAAGACTCCAGAAGGGCAGCTCCAGAACAGGGGCCAAGCTCCGATCCTCACCACTGCAAGCCCAAGCCCACCTCCCTACTTCGTTAAGCACTGGGTCCCATTATAAAGCCTGGCTCTCTTCTGCACCCACACCCCCAAAATGCTGTCTTCCAGGGCCCCTCCGACACTGTCCAACTGGACGCACCCCAAATCAACTTAGAGCTGGACAATCCCTTCGGGCCCTCCCACATTCTGTCCTATGGAGACAGGTCTGGGAGAGGTCCACAGAGACACTGCAGGTTCTGCGAGTTGGAGGAGCCCTCCCCGGGGGCTATAAACAAGACAGAACCAGGTTTGCTACTGAAACCTGAAGTGAAAGGAAGGCAGACCCGAGATGAACTGTCACTTTCAGTTTTACGAATAAATAAATCAATGAACCAATAAAAAGAGGTTCCAGGCCTGGCGTTGGTGGCGCAGGCCTTTAATCCCAGCACTCGGGAGGCAGAGGCAGGTGGATCTCTGTGAGTTCGAGGCCAGCCTGGTCTACAGAGCTATTTCAGGGCAGCTAGGGGTGTTACACGGGGGCTGGGGGGGTCCCTCAGGGAAGAAAGCTGAGGTCAATTGTTCTGCAGGTCTGAAAACATTTTCCCGGGAAACCCTTTGGAGTAGCTGGGGTAGGAGGGACTCACTTTCCAGCAGGAAGTCACAGATTGGCAGCTGTCAACTGTCCTAGAGTCTTCCCCCTGCCAGGCTCCTTCTCTGCCCATCGCGGTGCCCCACTGTGAACAGCGGAGCCATGGGGCACAGACCTTGTCGGATTCCCAGTTGGGAAGTAGTGCACCCCAAGTCACCCGACAGTCATCAACGCAGGAGCTCCGTGCCAGAGACCGGGTTAACACCCCGAAATGCCTTACAGAGAGGTGGCTTCCCTCCACCCCTCTAGGTTCTTTCAATGTACTCCACCCCTCTAGGTTCTTTCAACGTAAATGACAAAACAGCTGAAGAGAGAATTGAAACTAATGACCTCCATTCCTACGGGAGTCCGACAAAATATGGGACTCGGAGAGTCGGATGACAAAAGCTTATATATAGAAGGGAACCGTGCTGAGGGTTCTGGGGGAGGGAAGGACCGGGGAAGTGAATAAAGCCCGCACCGGGCAGCTGTCTCTCAGGTAGGAAGTGATCGGGGGCAGCATTCTTTCTAAGACCCTTCCCGGTGGTGGCTCTTACAGATGTAAATTCTACTGGAAAAAGAGCCTTCTTCCAGAGCACTCGGAGGTCTGCTCACACCAGCTCGAACTTGGAGGCAGCCTATCCGGAGGAGTGGCACATTCTGATTCCCTACAGTCAAGTTTGGGGGTGCTACGCTCAGTAAGTCTGCAGGAGCCTGGAGTAGGGGCGTCCCTAGGGTGGGGATGGGGGCAGGGAGGTCAGAGTTCCCGCCTAGAGGTCAGAGCCTGACACCGGTGGCCGGAGGTGGGGGAGGGGTGCCTGGGTCTGGGGGTCTCGGCGGCCCCGCTCCGCACTCAGGGCGGACCGGTGCGGACTCCCGGACCTCTCAGGGCGGCGCGTGCCACCGCGTCACTGAGGGGGGCGGCGGTCCCCAGCCCCGCGCGCTCGCGCGCCCCGGGCACTCACAGCAGGTCCGGCCGGTGCCGGTGCAGGATGGCGCAGAAAGCCAGGCCGTCCCGGAAGGAGCTGCTCAGGTCGCGGATGTCCACGCCGCGGTAGCCCTCGCACTGGCGGCGGCACCAGGCCAGGAGAGCGCCCCGCGGCCCCGCCATGGCGGGCCGGGCTCGGACGGCCCCGGCTGGGGCTCGCACTCGGGCTCCGGCTCGGAGTCAGGCGGCACTAGGCTGGCGCTCGGGCTCCGGCGGGGCCGGTTTCCGGCTGAGTCTGCGGCGCGGCTCGGAGCTCGCTCCCTGGCTCGCTCGCTCGGGGCGCCACCGGCGGCCGGGGCGGGGCCTCGGTGTCCTCGCTCGGCTCTGGCGCGGCTAGGGCTGCGGACTCGGCTCCCGACCCCGCCCGGCCAGCCTGCCCCGACCTGCCCGCGCAGCCTCCGCCCCGCGAGGCCCGGCCTGGCCGGCCGCCGCTTACTCACCGCGGCCCGCTGTACTCATTGTGGGCCGGGCCGGGCGCCCACCGCCTCCGTCCCCGCCCCCGACCGCGCCGCGGGGGAGCGCGAGGAGGAGGGGGCCCCACCCTGCGGCCCCGCCCACGCCGTCGAGCCCCTTCCCCGGAAGGGCGGACGCCCCATAACCCCTCTTCTCCAGCCCGAGTCACCCCTTCCCATGGGGAGCCCCTCCTGGCAGCCGGGACAGCCCATCGCTGGTAGCCCCTCCCCATCGCCACCCGCAGGCCCCCCAGGCCCTCCTACCCCAGAGGCGGGACACTCTGGCTTGCCGCCTGCCTTGCCTCGAGCTCGCCGCTCCTCAGACCCTGCAGATCCTCCTCACTGGCTTCTCTGAACCACACCCACACCCGGTTTGGAAGAATCGGCAGTTTCCCCGCAGATCCCAAACCTCCATATGGTCACCATGCTTCACCACTCTACGACATACCGATCGCCCGTCCCTCCACCCCGCATGGCCTGCCTAGGGGACCCAAACACCTCTACCACCGCCAGCCCAGAGATCTACGTAGTGACCGGCTGGAGACCCCCCACTACCAAGCTGGTCCTTCTTGGTAGACCCTCTCTGGCTGTGTAAACTAGGTCTCACGCGCACACACCCTTCTGGGCCCTTGTCCCTTCAACTTTAAGAAAGGCAGGGGGCTGGGCTCTTGCTGGAAGGACCTAGAACAGACCATTGTCTAATAGTGTGTTGTGGCCACACCTGGCTTTGGAACCTCCCCTGCCGTATCGCCTCCTGGTCTGCTTGTTTCTTAGGACCCCGCCAATAGACCCCTCCCCCAGATGCCTCTCCGAACTACAGGCTGATGAATCAGCTGCAGAGACGGTGACATCACTCTGACCTCCGTAGTTGGTAAGAATGGGTCTGCTGCTCCCCACTGAGGGAGTGAACAGGGTCTTAGTCATCTGAAACAGGGTTTTGGAGTTCTATCAACCCAGGCTCAAATCCTGGCTCCCTCCCCGGCCGTGTGATTTTGTGTCACCTTGAACTATGGTTTCAATATCTTAAAAATGGAGATAGAGCCTTCTGGTTTATGGCTATAATCCCAGCACCTGGGAGTTAGATGCCAGCCTGTGCTACAAAAACCTGTCTCAAAAATAAAAACAAAGCTGGGCAGAATGACTCACATGCTTATACAAGGCATGGGGGGAATGAACCGTCCAAGTTTGAGGATAACCTTATTACACAGTACCAGAGCCAGCCTGAGCTACAATGTAAAACTGTCTCAGAAATAAATAGGAGCCTGGCATGATGGCACACTTTTAATCCCGGTACTCAGGAGGCAGGGGCAGGTGGATCTTTGGGAGTTTTTGGCCAGCGGGATTACATAGTGAGTTCCAGGACAGCCAGGGCTGCGCAGAGAGACTGTCTTAGGGTAAATAAGTAGCCGGTGACATGGCTGATCAGGAAAGGCTGCCAAGCCTACTACCTGAGTTCAACGGTCCAGACCCACATGGTGGAAGGAGAGAACCAACTCCCACAACTTGTCCTCTGACCGTCCCACAGGTCTCCACGACCACAAACACACATGCGCACACAAAAATGAGTGTAGAATAAAAAATAAATGTATGGAGCAGGAAAGAGCACTTGCTGTTCTTGTGGACAACCTGGGTTCGATTTCCAGCACCCAGTCTGCAACTAACACACATGGAACTGCAGTTTGGAGATCTGACACCCTCTTGACTCTGAGGGCACTGTCTGCATGCTGTGCACAGACAGACATGCAGGCAAAACACTCACTTATATGAAATTCATAAATCCTTTTAAAAGTGGTAAATGAGCCATGCCTTTAATCCCAGCAATCAGAGGCAGACTCGGGTGGATCTCAATGAGTTCAAGGCCAGCCTGGTCTACAAAGTGAGTTCCAGGACAGCAAGGGCTGTTACACGGAGAATCCCTGTCTCAAAAACCCAAAATAATAATAATAATAATATAGATGTATGCCTAACCCTCATAAGTTAAGCAATTGATATTGGTACTTCATGACGTGAGAGAGATTGAAACCTCTGTACCTAACCTTGTTGCCTGGGCCTCTGAGGGTCAATTATCAAGGAGAGATTGACTTAAATACAGCTGTGACCCAGCGCCTGGGGTTACACCTCTGAGTATGTCTGCAGCTAGAAGGCCAGCATCCTGCCTTCCACTGACACCTCCTGCCCTGTCCCCTGTGGAGTCAGGGCCTAAGCACGTCCATTAAATCAATGACTTGGGCTGGGCATTGGTGGCGCAGGCCTTTAGTCCCAGCACTTGGGAGGCAGAGGCAGGTGGATCTCTATGAGTTCAAGGCCAGCCTGGTCTACAGAGTGAGTTCCAGGACAGTCTCCAAAGCAATACAGAGAAACCCTGTCTCGAAAAAAAAACCAAAACAAAAACAAAAAATCAATGACTTGGGGTTGGGATCCTGAAACTAAACTTCTTCAGTCTTCCAACAGCGCTCAGGATTCTCACTAAAAACCCAGAACAATGGGGGTTGGGGTTTAGCTCAGTGGTAGAGTGCTTGCCTAGCAAAAGGCCCTGGGTTTGCTTCAGCTCCAAAGTTGGGTGGGGTGGGGCGGGGTGGGATGGGGAAGGGGAGGGTTTAGGGGCCAGCTTGATCTATGTAGCAAAATCTGTCCAAAATACTGAAAATCCAAGGAGAGTCTGTAGGTGACTCACTGCTGTTGATCTGATCCTGATCTCTCCCATTGCCTTAATGATAGCTTACACAGCTCAGCCCTTGGCCCCTACAGCCATCTGTGGGCTTCCCAAACCCATCTCCTGAGTCAGCTTGCCCAATCATGAAGGACTGGCGTGGTGGCCAGAGCTGTGTGACTGCAGGCCAGACACCTCACCTCATTAAGCCACAGTGTCCCTCCCTATAAGATGCGGATAATGATCTTTGCCTGCATCCCAGGTTTGTGGGTAGCCAGGTGAGATAATGGTGGTAAAATACTGTGTAGACAGTCAACCACGGTTCGGGAAGAGCATGAGTCCCTGATTACAGGTGAGATTCGGGAGCCACAGACCAATGGGCAAGTCTGGCCTCCTGGCCAAAGTCAAGGTGAAGCCATGGTTTAAGATTAGGAGTCAGGGTCTTTAGCACATTTTTTATAAAGTTTTATTTAAATTAGAAACAATGTTATTTTACATATCCCAGTTCCCTCTCCCTCTGGTTCTCCCATGCCCCCTACCGACAGCCCTCTCCCCATCCCACCTGCCTTTTTTTTTTAAGACAGTGTCTTTCTGTGTAATCCTGACTGTCCTGGGAGTCTCTCCCTAGATCAAAATGGCCTCAGACTCAGAGCTCTGCCGGCCTCTGTATCCTGAGCACTGGGGTTAAAGGCATGTTCCGCTGTGCTCAACTAGCACTTTTGATAATCATGTACACATGTGTTCTATTCTATCTTGGCAGTATTGAGGATCGAATCCAGGGCCCTATGTGTCTGCTATGCAAGCACTCTGCCAGACATTACTCTTTTGGGGGAGAAGTTCGAGACAGGGTTTCTCTGTGGCTTTGGAGGCACATTACTCTTTTGAGATGGGGCCTTTTACTAACTCTGGAGCTGAGCTGGCAGCCAGCACACTCCAGCCACCTTCCTGTCCCCACCCATGCCCCCACAGCACTGTGGTTACAGGTACCTGTGGCAACATTTGGTGTTTTCCATGCTACTGGTGATGCAGTAAATGTTCTTACCCACTGAGCCATCTCTCCAGCCCCTTTTTTTTCCCTTTTCATGCAGTCCAGGCTTCCAGCCCATGGGATGGCATGGTAGTGTTAATGAGAATGGCCCCCATAGGCACATCCATTTGAAAGTTGGGTTCACAGTTAGCAGGACTGTTTAGGAAGGATTTGGAGGTGTGACCTTGTCGGAAGAAATGTGTCACTGGGGTGACTTGAGGTTTCAGCAGCCCGTGCCAAGCTCAGTGTCTGTTTTCTCTCTCAGTCTTCTGCTTGTGGGTCGGATGTAAGCTCTTAGCTATTGTTCCAGTGCCGCTGTGATCATGGACTAATCCTCTGAAATTGCAAGTCCCCAATTCTTCTATAAGTTGCCTTGGTCATGGTGCCTCCTCAGCAGTCCAACAGTGACTGAGACAGATGGTATCACCTGCACTCAAGGAAGGCCTTCCTTCCTGACCTCTCATATGGGCCTGAGTCTCTGTGTCCTGGGTGATTCTATGTTGACAATGAAAATTAACCATCACACTGGGTGTTGGTGGCACACCCCTTTGATCCCAGCTCTTGGGAGGCAGAGGCAGACAGATTTCTGTGAGTTTGAGGCCAGCCTGAGTGAGTTCCAGGACAAGATCCAAAACTACACAGAGAAACCCTGCCTCGACAAACCAAAAAAAAAAAAAAAAAAAAAGAAGAAGAAAGGAGAAAATTAATCATCATAAACAGCAGCCAACAAACCACTGAGTATGGGAGAGAGTAGCATTTAATGACTATTGTGAGAAAGA